ACGACACTACAGGCAATACTCCAGGATACACAACTCTCCACCAACCCACCTACAACCCACCATGAATTCCCCATGTCTAACCACTACTTCACTCAAACCAAAGGTCCTCACAGACATTCCCCCTCTCCCACACTTCACCCAACCAACAACATCCACCATCCTCCGTCAAGACTACACAACACCAACCCCAGATGATCAGCCAACTGCTCCTAGAGCATGCAGCCATCTTGAGGATCACACCCTTCAGAATCACACCCTACCCTATCAGTGAGGATGCCTTTTTTCTCACCCTCTGAACAGAGGCACGCCTCTATCCTACAACACACCATCAACCATGTCACATCCCAACTCCTACAAACAACACTCCTACACCAACATGGATCTCCCTCCTGTCCCTGGCACCAGCCCACCTCCAGTGCCACCTTATCCTCCTTCATTACTCAACAACCCCTCGAACAGCCCACAAACCTCCAGCAGCCACTGTCCTCCCTCCTGGGAACCAAACACTGCCAGTGTGTCATTTGCCCATCTTCTGCCTGCTTGATGGCCTCTATCTAACAATTTTTGTGCATTGGATGGGGTACACCCTGCTCTGGTCCAGCCTGAGGAGTACACACCTCCTCACGGGCTCTGCTGGCATATTTGCCTTGCATGCCAAGGCCTCTTGCCACAGCTTGGGACCTGATAACCAGACACACTTACTGGTCGAGCACTCTTTGGTCTGTGCAATCTAACTGGTCCTACACGGTCCTCTATGGTGATAATGGTTTAATACCGACAAAACTCCTGTGTAAGCCCCTGTAACCCAGTTTTGCGCTGCAGGTTCCCTATCAATTGCTCACCCCCCTACCAGGGCATCTGTCTACTTGGTTGCTGGCTCCACGTTGGGCAGGTATGAGTCATGTTATTGCGGCATAATTATAGTGGATGACGACTAAGCTAGGTGGGGGCTTCCCCACCCATTGCCGGCGTCATTAAAGCCACTCCGTGCCATAGTTTTTTAAACTAACGAGTATTTTACACCCTCTCCTGCAGGGTATCTCACATTGTTTGGACGCCCCAAGATCCTTCATGCATAATTTCTTAGCATGAGGTTGAGCATTCAAGGTCCCGGATGCTCCTGTATCCAGTAAGCAACGGAGTGTGACGGGTTTTGGTTTCCCTTTTTTCTCGCTTGTTAATCTAACATAGACGATGGGTTTGAGGTCTCTTGTCTTGCGACGTTACGAGGTGGTTGGACCACGGACGAGGTTAACGATGCTAAATAGATCATCAGAGTCTAGTTGAGCAGCTTCTTGGCAATCATCTAATTTGCCGTAGTGTTCATAAGTTGCAAACAATTCTGTTTTACTAGTTTAGTGAGATATCTTCATCACTTGGTATGAGAAATCGGAACATGGTTCCGTTGAGTCATCACCTGGCTAATCCTCAGATAGAGATTTCTCCATCCAAGTGATTGAAATTGATAGAGGAGTTGCCCTCATTGTCAGAGTCTTCTGATTTGCGCTTGGCACATGGTTGCGAAGTTTGCAAGTGGTTGCACGAGTATCGTCGATCTCGTTTTCTTCGTCATTGTTGACGAGAGGAAGAATGGGTTTGTCACGCACTGTTTCTCGAAGTTGGGGAACGCATGCTTTCCTTGAGCCATTTCATGGTGAAGGAATAGGTTGAGGGTAGCCGAAAGCTATTGTGTTTGTTACAAAATGCACTAGCTAAAAGCTGATGTAAAGATCTTTCGAGTGTTTTGAGTTTTGAGAGAATGAAAGTTATGAGAGAGTTTAGAAAGCTATGAAAACTAATCAACGAGAGAATCATCATCAAGGGATTGTAGATTGGCTTCCCGCGGGAGACTATAAAGTGTGTATAGTAGGTTGCGGTAGTAATCCTACGTATCTCCCAGATCCTAAAACGGAACGCGTGAAGGTTTGTCTAGCATGGTTCTATAGCGTGGAAGTACTCCACGCTGGCTAAATATCTAGAGCGATGTTCTATCATCAACCTAGTATGACCAAGAGCGGTCATTGAGAACCTGTCTCAAATGACTATTCACGAGAGACTAGTCATGATTCGAACTCAAACCCTATCTAGGATCGAGTGCGAATAAGGCTAAGAGCCGTGTATGCACAATCCTTGTGGAACTGATCCAGGATGCACATGCATCAGTAGCAGGCTCCCTGGACCATGTTGAGGTCCTCCATTGGCTTTCAAGTGTCCAGTACAGTCCAAGGCAGGGCTCCGCTGTTGACTTTGTCATCAAGTTTGACGAGACCATCACCACTACAATGATGGCCACCAAGATCCTAGTGACAAGCTCAGCGACAGCATGCAGAAGCTGTTCCTGCAGCGTGCCTTCACGATGTCCAAGTCCTGAACGACATCAGTTCCCGTGAGCATGAAATGATGTGCCGTCATGGTCCCCAGGAACGCTTCACTTACGAAGCCTACAAGGGGACACTCAAGAATGCCGCACACCACTACGATGTCAACCGCCGTGTTCCCGACTCCCAACTAGCCAACCTAGGAACTGTTGGTGTGGGACCAAGCCATACCGGTGATGGGGAGCAGCAAATCCTCGGATCCCAAGTACAGATTGGTTCAAGCTTTCGCCTGCCGCCCGCCAATCTGGTGCGAGTCTCTCTGATACCGACAGACGAGTCCTGATAGGTTCGACGCCGCCTATAGTTGATTCCAAGAGCGAAGCTGACCCAGCAGTCGGGGACACCTTGGATTCTCTCATGGCAGATGACAAAGCCTTCAAGGGCAAGCTCAAGCCCAATTCCAACCTGGTTTTTTGATGGGGCGACTAGTGTACGTGCTGCACCGTGTCAAGCCCAAGGAAACCAGACACGCCCATGTCTGCGGGTAGCATGCCACCCACATGGGCTACCTTCCGCAGGAAATGGCACTGTATGACAAGTCCCCTTGCTAGATTTGTCATCATGATTCAGCATACCGTTTTGTGATTTGAAACTTGTCTGTTGCCACCATTGGTGTCAAAAGACTCATCTCTGCCTGAGATGTCTGTGTTGTAAGTTTTGTCAACCACGTATTGATTCAATATGACTACTGACTGTTGTCTCTGCCCCTCTGAGCTTTATGGGGAGACAAACAGATGGCTTCTAAGCCAATTCCAAGCTATGGTGCAAGTTTGGGGAGACCAAGTGGGATTCTTACTGACGTCCAAGTGCAATAGGTTCCTTGTGAATGGGGAGCATCTGCAGATAGCCTCAAGACATGTTCCACACACACCTTCGCGAGTGACCAACCCAAGGTGGATGTGTAGTGTCCATCCCAAGAAGTACTCTGCGCACACCACGTCTGTCCTAGATCCTAACACCTTTCCTCTCTTGGACAACGATGGCAATCCAATGCCTTTGCCTTGGAGCCAGCCATCTACTTTGGAGGGTTTGAGATCACAAGTCTGATGTCCCTTCCTTTATTCCAAGTGGTACCCAGCAATGGACACCTTGATGTATTCAAGAGGGCTGCTGACCTTTGTATTAGGTCACAGCCAAGGTCCAAACTGAGGAACCAGATGCTCCAGTTTTGTGGGAATGTCGAGGAATGACCCAGAATAGAGAAGCTTGTTGACGCCCCCATTTGATGACCGAATGGTGGGGAGCGATGAAATTAGCAATAGAAGCCTCTATGGGTGCGCCACAGCTGTGCTGGTTTAGTCGGATGGAAACAATGCTTTTGATCGTGTACAGTAAATCAGTACACACAGCATTGCAGCCATGTGACAATTGTTATATAGCTGAGGCATGCCTATGTGTTCCAGAGCATATAGCTTCAGTCTAGATACAATGTAATGTTCCAGACCAACAGTCCTCTCCTAGGATCTCCAACGTAGGATATCCTCTCCAAAAGAGCCAGTTCTGTCAACTGGATGAAATCGTGGTAATGGTGTTTTTAGCTTATAGTAAGAAAGTTAGTAATGAAAGAGTAACCCCTGAGACCCAGTAGCACCTCAGCCTGCAGTAGATAGATTCTTGTGTGGTATGTGCTAGGGCAATGTAACCAGCTCCCAAGTACTTTGAAGTAGTGATTGGGTAGCATTGATCCAGCTCTTTTGAGCTGGCCTTTCAGCCAGTGGAGGAGATCTTCATCAACCAGAGATCTCCCTCCAGCTCTTGTGTTCCTACAACTGAGCCTCATTGGCAAGATTCATAGGTCAAAACGGGTGCTTAGACCAGGTCGAAGAGCGTTTCTTGGGCCTACTAAGCGTGCCCGACAATGTGGTATCACTTTCGGGGACTTTCAAAAAACGGCCTTTCTCCACCATTTTCATGGGCTATAGCAAGGCAAATGGTCAGATTTTGCCCAAAACGAACCGGCCCCTCAAACATGGGAACATGAAGAGGAAGTCGATACAATCATCAGGGTTCGACAGCCGTGACCAAAAACTCAATTCACGAGTCTATATATAGGGAAAACCAGCCTGTGCGCGTTGGATACCTCCCCTGCCGCAGAACCGAGCCGAAACAAGCCGAAACAAGCCGATACGGTGGCACCCAGAGGGTGTAGCCAGTGGTGACAGTCTGCTAACACCTTCCTTCTCACTGGATGCTGCATAGAGGTCCATGGAGCCAGCTGGTGTGGCACTTCACCGGCCCAACCAGCAAGAAACGGCATCTCCAGCGTCCAAGAGGGGTCCTTAGACCAAGTCAAGTTTTTTTAAGGCCTTATATTTATATGCGTGCCGGACAATGTGGTAACACTTTCGGGGACTTTCAAACAATGGCCTTTTTCCACCATTTTCATGGGCTATATAGCAAGGCAAAATGGCAGAAGGTGAACCTATTTGCAACTCCAAGCCATTTGCTCTAGTACCATCTTCGAAAGAAAAGAGGTGCACTAATCTCCAAGCAGACCTGGGGTGGCAGTTGGCGCTGCATACATGTATATTGGGAACCACGCACACAATCCCCAATGACAACACTTCTAGCATGCTGCGTAGGAATTAGTTAGCTTCGGTCCTCATTATAGTCATTACCAGCCTATGGTTGACTAGTCCGTTTCCAGTTTTTTGTCGCGTTGGTACTTTCGTCGCCTGCACTTTTGGCTTCACCTCTAGTGCTGACATATCCCCCCATGCTCCCCGACGACGATCTTGTTGACCCACGTCTTGCTCCGTCTTCTCCCGGAGCAAATGGTCGTGGCTCGAGAATGAGGTCCCATCCAGTGGCATCGGCACTGGTCTCGCACTTTTCCTCACTTCTGGCCAACCCTGCCACTAGTGGGTCTTGGTGGTGCGAAGGAACGATCCCTGTATTCAAATTCAAATGTGATGGGTCCGATATGGCGAGCTGTTGCTGGTGTTGTTGGTGTTGCTGATGGAGCCTGGAATACAGCTCCGAAGTCTGCATTGAAAACTGATCGGGTGGCTGTTGCAGTGCCAGTTGTTGTTGTCGCTGTTGTTGTTGTTGCTGCTGCTGCAGTTGGGGCCAACTGGCTGCCCCGGGTTGCTCCGTCTGTCCTGTTTGGTGCCGTTGTGAAGGATGTTGCTGGAGCTGAGGAGGGGCGTATCGTTGATCCTGACCGAGGGCCCCCAACATTTGGGTACGCATCAACCCTTGTTGGTGAACACCTGTGAGTGACGATTGCTGCAGTGTTGTTGGTGTGGACATGGTTTCGTTGCGAGTCTGTTGTAGTTGCTGCAGAATGTTCGTCATTACGACGTGATCCGTATTACTTGTACCGGTGGTCGTGGACGTCGTGAATTGTTGAAACCCACGGCTTCCAGGATCTTGTCGCGGATTGTTTGTTAGCTGAAGCGAGGGTAGTAGTGTTGCAACTTGTGCCTGATTGGAGGAGCCAGTGCCAGTGGACGTACCGGTCCCCGAAGATCCGAGGTTCTGGAAGGGAGGCTGTGGTAGTTCCGACGAGCCCATGGCCAATGGCAGATCCGCTTCCAGGAGTAGTCGCCGACGTAGTTCCGTAGTCGAGACATTCAAGGTAGATTCGGACTCTTTGTTGGTTTCCGTGTGGGACGAAGGCTGTGGGGAGGCTTGATGCTGCTGTAGGTCACTGATGTTGGGTTGCTTGGCAATAGCGACGGTAGATTTGGTCTTTCTTTCCGTTGCTTTTATACTTTCGAGCAGTTGTTGTTCTGGGATCCAACGAGCAAAGGAAGGGTGTCGAAAGGCTGTAAGTGTAAGTGCAGTAAGATGCAGAGAGCAAAACGTGGAGACGCAAACCGTGGAGACGCAAACCGTGAATGAATGGTGAGACCAAGTTTAAGTGCAAACATATGGCGACGGGATTGTTGATGCATACATGTCTACATAACTCACCTCTCTTGTCTGACCGCAGTTGAATGTTGAATGTTGAATGTTGAATGATGGTTCCAGCAAAGGGAATCGAATCGAATACGACAACAAAAACAAAAAGGCATCATAGACAAGTTAGCAATTTCAATCTTGGCTGCTGCACTCCCTTCATCGTGCAGCACTAAAGCACTAAAGCATTGAACATGCAATGCAAAGCGATCGTAGCAGTTATTAACACACCTTGTTTGCTATCCGAGCGAAAGCCAAACAGATGTAGTCTTCTCTTGAAAGATACGTACTTCAAGCGTGGGAAAAACCTAGAGGGGTGTAAACATACCGTAGCAAGTCAAGCCAGAGCAAGCAGCCAAGCAAAGGGTGAGTAAGCCATTGTTAGGTAGAGTCTACCAGCCAGAAGCAGCTCAGATGAAGTGAGCAATGCCATGCTAAGCCGGGCCAAGCTAAGCTAAGCCAGCTAAGTCAGTCGTAGCTCAGGAACACGGTGTAGCAAGCTAGCTACAAGCTGCAAGCTAGCTGGAAGCAAGGTTCTTACTTTGGCATGATTTGTGTTTCAAACTGCTGCTTGTTATGGACGACAAAGCCAGCACCACTGCTCTGCCAACCAACGATATTCTGCAAGCCTTGGTTTTCCACAGTATTAAGCATTCGCTGCAGTTGCACGGGAAACTGAGCGGTAGCCGGGCCATGCCCACCGCCACTGCTACTACCGGTACCAGTACCAGTACCAGTACCGGTGCCACCATGACCACCGCTACTTCCTACTGAAGCGCTTTCGTCGTTGTCTCCGCTAGTATTGAGGCTGACATTGGAAGCTACCGCTAACTTCTTCTCTGGCTCTGATGACATGAAAGGTACACTGAAGCTACTAGTATTAATGAACTGTACTGCACAACGAGTGGTCATTGTTCTTCTTTTGATTTGTGAGCCATGCCGGAGAAGCTCCGATCCATGTAAAAGCAGGGCTGAGCTCAACTTTCCCTTTTGAAAGTGGGTATCGGCAAGGGGTATCGGCAGAAAGAGGCTGGTTTGCGGTTAGCTGCTGTTTCTCAAAGCATTTAACATCAAACCCGGTTTCCAGCCACCACCAACCAGTTTCGCGAAACCCCTTCCGATGAACCATTCGATAGCATTCCAAGCAGCATAGGGCAATTAATAAATATTTCTCCGCGAACCCCTCGTCAAGAAAGTAAGACTTAGCAACGTTGATCGAAGATTAGAAAGGAAAGCCTCTTTTAAGGACGCCTTCATATTTTGAGAATGTGAACTCCTTGGATGACTCCGAGTCAGGCATAGCTATGCAGCATTTACAAATGACTCAGTTTACGACGAATCAGAGCACTAAAAGTTATTAGCATAGAACAGAAAGAGAAGTTTACTTCAACACCCACAGAGCAGAGAATGCTTAGAAGCTCATAGCATCACCAGTGAAGCAAAGATCACCAGCTGATCACCGTACCGGTAGCAGCTCAGCTGTCTCCGTAAATAAATGTAGTCACAGCTACTCACCGTGCAGTCGAAAAATACAGCTGCAAGATGCTGCAGTCGCAAAGTACAGCTACACAAAATCGCTCAGAGAGACCTAATGATAGCTTGAAGTTTGCCGCTGCTGTGCACTACTTGTACTCCTTCGGCTTCCTTTCCTGATTTATTGCTTTGAGGTATGATGGCTTAGAAATAATGAATGAACACTATGAACTATGCATAGCTTGAACTACATGTACTGTCGCCGGTGAGTACGTACTAACTAGCTAGTACAGCTGTGGTACTGAAAGCTGAGCCAAGCGTGCGAACCCATTCTGGCGGAGCAAGACCTAGGGGATTCTTCCTGCATAACTGCATAAGACAATCCCCATGGATGAGTACCACGACAGCTCTACAACTACAACACTCTTTGGAACAATCAGCAATCTAGCTACTAGGTGTGGGCACACAATCTGCGGAGTGAGGGCTGATACCAGCATCGAAGCATCCACCTAGTTGCAAAATTGGGGAAGGGTCCACAAGACGTCTTGTCCATTGCCGATTTCGATTAGCCTAAATCCTCCAATTGCTTGCACGGCTCGGGCTTGAGTGGGCACATTGGTACGTTGATACCATCCACGACCCCAGGCTTGTCCACGACCCCAGGCATGTTGTAAATTGACACATAACTGGATAGACAGTAGCTAGTCAGCTACCGTAGCAGGCATTCCTGACTTGCTCGTTCTTAGGAACTTTCATCCTGGCTGCCATTGCTTGATGAATTAAATGCTGAACGTGGCTGGAAGAAGAACTGCGAGCTGCAAGGCAACCATTCTTCCCCTTCTTTCACTCTGCCGACTCGACTCCTGTTTCTTGCTCATCTATCTAGCTAGTGTGGTCAAGCAACACTGGGATTAGCCTACGATCACTCTCTTTGTCATACCGTACAGTAGAGTGACGAGTCGAGTCCTTGATCGGTACGGTAGCTACTACGTTTGCTAGTATGTCGCACGTTTATGTCGGAGATAGCTAGAGATACGCACTGTAGAGCAGAGGGCAGCCACAAGAACCTCGAGCGACTACTATGATTGCAAATACCGCATCAGCCAGCACGTTCAGGAGCCAGCCAGTGACAGTAGCAGTCGCTTGCTTCCCTTCGATGAGTGAGCTTCCTTGTTTTCTTCCTTCGCTCGGTTTGCCCCCCCCCTACGGTAGCCTGCAGCAACCAGGCACTGACCGCCGCGGTTGCCAGACTAACTAAAAGTTGTTCAACTGCACGAGAGTACAGTACTACTTTGGCAACTTTGAGCAATGGTCCACTGGCAAAACCGAATCAAGGCAGTCTACCAGTGACAACAGCAGATGCCAAAAAGATGCCAAGATGCATGAAAAGAGCAAGAAAGCGAAGCACGCGGGAGTCCTCAGTCCAGCCAGACAATGTATTAATACCTGCATGTAATCCGAAGCAGGCAACTTGAACACTTAGCTAGCTAGAGGCCGAGTGAGGCTTTGAATTTCGGGCCCATCATCGCCAACCCTCAAATTGCAGACCAAGCTCTGGCCATCTTGAGGCAGGTCAGTCAGCGCATGACATTGTGTCGTAGCAGCGAAGAAAGACAGATGCTGCCACCAGCCACGCACCCGAGACGAACGAGGACCCAACACCTGAAGGATCTGTAAAAGCAGTAGCAGAGTAGAGCTAGCTTGCTACTGTAGTGGTGGCTAGCTTGCTTGCTTTGCACCTACCGGTATCCTAGATATGCTGTAGGCATGTCGCAAGACAGTCCTTGGACTTCATCAACTCAATCTTGTCAAACATCCTTGCCTCATCATGTCTGCGAAAGAACCTAATGGAATGGTGTCTAGCTAGCTAATAACTTTGTGCGTGTTGGCACGTTGGCGCTGAAGGTTGAATGATTGAAATTGAATGAATCGAATCGTATAACCCATGCATTCATGTCGAGCAAGTGTTGCGTCAGCAGCACGCACGGCCCCAGGTCGTTCACGTATAGCATTGCGCTCACAATTTCAAGGCAAAACAAACCATAATAATATATATAGAAACCATCCAATCTATGCAGTCAAATACCTGTACCAGCAGAAGTGCTACTAATACACTCATCAAACCAACTCGTCGTCTTTCGGGCTTGCTAGTACCGGTAATAAGTGGACTGTCACTCAGCAGCCGCCACAAGAAAAACCGAGTGACAGTCAGCTTCCTTCTCGGCATTGAAGAAGTGCATGAGTATCCCGCTGCCGTGTCGCTCGTACGAGATAAGAAGGAGCTCTGGTATTCCTCGCAGGAACTTGGCCATGCACTTGCAGAGGATGTCAATAGATGTCTTGCTCAACTGCAAGCAAAGCACACACAATCGTCAGACTCGCCGCCTCAAGTACCGGTACCAGTAGAACTATTAATAGTCGATCCACGGGGGCTAGAATTCTACCTTTTGGAAGACTCCAGACGCACTGAACAGACCCTGGTAGCACTGAGGTATGTTCAAAGAGTTGTCTCCGGGTCGTACAACACCAATAAAAGCCAAAAATTGAGACACAGCCTAAGAAGGAGTGCCAGACAGCGGCAGGAACAAAGGCAGCTGGCAGCCTATTGCCATGAAACTACGGTCAACTCTCAAGTGCAAGCCTTGCAGACGGCCTTGGAGGATCAAGCAGAGGCAACCAAGGTTTACATGCAAGGCGGGATGGACCTGGCATCCACAAGCTACGCTATCAAGAGCACGGCGGCCATGATGATGAAAGCTACTAAACAGCTTCAAAGGGGGGATGCAACTACTAGGACTGCTTCCACAATGCCCCCAGACCAAACAGGGCCACCGAGGTCCATCACCGCCATAACAGCATGAATTCAACTTGAAGCTGTCCGATCCATTTCTTGAATTTATCCGATCCAAAAGCGGCAATACGGACGCTATCATACTAGTACAGTAGTTGCATCGATCGCGACCGCGTCCTCGATCACCGCTACTGGTACCGGTATATAAGCGAAAGCTTCAGCAATGCACTTCCTTGTGTACATCATCTATACGAGCGAGCTACGAGCTAGCTCTAGCCAGTTGCATCTCTGCCAACCATCATGGAGGTGCTCTGGTTTTCTCGACCTCCCTTCCCCTAGCTAGCTATGGTATAGGCACACATAAAGACATAAAGTATTTGCCCCAATGTTGCTTTGAAGTTCAGTCAACATGAAAGGGATTTGTTCAATCGAATGATCCCAAAACCTGAATGATTGAATCGAATCTACATGTAGAATCAACTCGTCCAGGACGCGCACTAACATGCAACCTCCACGCCTCCACCTTTACATGATGTACGATGTATGTCGAACACAACATCCGCTGCTGATAAACCTCCCATTCCTTGGGTTTCCTTTGCCAAAGCATATTATCTTGACCAGAACCTCAAAACTGTGGTTTCCCCCCTTTCGCAACTTGAACCGAAGAAGAAGAAATGCAGAACAACAGACCAACGGCAAGTAGCCACCAAATGGACGACGATGAAAAGACGTACCGGTACCGGTACAGTACTAATGCTCCCCTTTTGGTACTCGTGTACGTTCCCCTTGCTTTGATGGCAGCTCGTATCGTTTCACTTGCTATGTGGCTCTCATCGACGAGTGCGGATCCTTTTACATGTTGTCAGCACCACCTCGAAGGAAGCGAATGACTTCGTCTACTCCCTTACATGTATCCAAGACCAAGATCTTTAGCGGATCATCGCTACGACGATTGGTTCGAGAGCCCTAGCGGGGAGACAGAGACCAAGACTTTGAATGAACAGACGGCGAACAGATCGTAATCATACCTGGTACCGAGGTGTGCAAAGCTTTCCAGGTGAAATCATGTCCACTTCTTTAACAATCTTGATAACGACTATGGCTCTGCCACGCATGTTGCCTATATCGTTGAGTGGGAGATAATTTCTGATCCAACCTTGCCCTCCGAGTCGACGTTCTATGATGACTTGTTTCCGCGGCAAAAAACGAGCCCAGCACGTGCGGTGGCCAACACGAATGTTCGGATTCACGAAGGGATTGCCCAGTACATATACTGGGACGTTGTCCACAAAAACGGGTGTACGGGAGAAGCCTGGTCGGCAGCGTTTCTCGTTTACATCGTGCATCCGGTGATAGACGCAAAACAACTTCGAATTCGATGCACCGCCAATACGGCCCCTATCTTGACATTCGCTTCACGCGAGACACAGTGGCAGTGGCGGGCGGAGAAGAATCATGCAGTTGCCATGAAGCATGTCCGTGTCGGTGATCGGATCCTCACGTCAAAAGGGTCGGTCCGAGCCCGTGTGTATGCACTCGGGCAACATAGCAACAATGCGCCAGCTGATTTCATCGAGATCTTCTTAACGTCTATGAATCAGGCATTGGAAGCAACACCGAGAAGTTTGCTTTTCCTGAGAGGAGCCACGAGTCGAGTCCTGTTTAGGTCGGTGCTGTAATACATAGTGTGGAGGAATCCTGGAAGGTGCGCAAGATTGCATCTGTCTCAGAAAAGGGGTGTGTGCACCCGTTAACCTTCTATCCCAAAGGCAAGCTGATTGGAAACGGTGGTATCGTTGCTTCGTCCTACGCCGAAAACTATGGTGGCTACAAGACCGAGTTTATATCTCAGCATCGGTATACCGGTATCCACATGAGTCTCACCGCCTGCATTTGGTTTGCATGGGCCTGTCCCCGGCTTTCTGCCGATTTGCGGACGAGGAACACGGCAAACCTCCCTACGTTGCTCTTGGAATTGGCCTTCACAAGTGGGTTCAAAAGCAAAATGATCGAGCTGATCATGATTATGCAATCTACGGTATTGTGGTCCTTACCTTGGCCCTTCCTCTTACGTTCATGGAGAATATTTTCGGTGCGGCCTTGCTTGTTGACTACTGTATAGCTTTGGATTGATGGTGTGCATGCTGAAGAGTTTTGGTTTCTGGCGCTACGAGAAGTGCTCTCAAAGACACGCCAGCAGACCGAAACTGCATAGTTAAGATACGACCAATAGATTTCTAAGACAGTTATACGCTGTATATCTATGAGCTACCCCCACGGCTGCAAAATGAAGAAACACAACAACAAGGGCCAACTCTACCGGTATGCATGGTAGCCCCGCAATGTAGCTTCAATTCGATTCGTTCCTATCTATAGAGACTGTCTTTTTGTTTCAGTTTTGTTATTCGATTTGTAGATTGTCAATTTGATTTGATTTGATTTCCTAGAACTCACTGAATTCATCTTCAATGGACTCGGCAATCTCTTCTTCGTGTGGTGTTGCCTGTGGCACAATTTCAGCTGCAGCCTTTTGAATGACTTTTTGTGCCTTGGCAGCGGTAGTATTATTATCGTCAGGAGCCCCTCCCAAAAGGTATAGCGTGAGGAAGAGTACGAGGAGTACCCCCATGGCAATGAGAACGAATTTGAGTTTTCCTCCGACCAGTTGATCCGTGTATTTCCAAGCATTCTGTACCGAGGAAGAGACCTTTTGTACTTTTGCCATTGTTTTGAGTGAAGACTCCAGCTGTTGATCCGACATGTCCGAGAACATGTTAATCATTTTTTGTAAATTTTCCTTGGATGTTCCCGACTGTGCCGCCATTTGCTCTAGCATTTCCGGGTTGCTATGTATGGTATACCGTGGTGATTGGTGATGTCATGTGATTGCAAGTGCAAGAGAAAGAGCAAGAGAATGGCAAGAATGAAAGAGAAGATGAGAATCAAAAGACAGCTTGTGTTGTAGATTTTGCCAATGTGGAGTATTGTACTGTTGTGAACTTACTCTTTGATCATTTTCATCATGGACTTGATTTGTGCTGTATCCATGTTTTCAAGCATTTGTGAGGGATCCATGGTCATTCCAGCGTTGTTGCTGTTGCTATTGTTGTTTGCCATTCCCATGGCCATTGGATTGAGTGAGTTTGGATCGGCAGCACCGGCATTGGGTGAGTTCATCATTTGCTGCATTTGCTGTGGAGACATATTTTTCATTTGTTCCGTTGCCATTTTCATGAGATCCGGGTTAGCCGCCATCATTTCAAACTGGGTAGCCGCCTGTTTAATTTGCTCATCTGTCATGTTGGCGAGTTGTGGATTCATGGCCCGAATGGTATCTGGAGGCATGGACTTCATCATTTGTGCTTGTTGGCGTAGTTGTTCAGGAGTCATGTTGGCGAGCATTTCTTGTTGCGTAGGGGCCGTGTTAGGGGTGGTGTTGTTAGCGGTGGGGTTGTTGTTCATCATGGTTTGCATTTGCTGCTGCTGCTGAGGAGACATGTTTTTCATTTGTTGCTTCATTCTCTGAATGGCTGCAGGATTGTTTGCCATCATTTCCATTTGTGTGGCTGCTTGCTGGATTTGTGCGTCTGACATTCCAGCCAGCTGAGGATTCATAGATCGGATGGTGGCAGGTGGCATGGAACGCATCATTTGGGCTTGTTGGCGCAACTGCTGGGGAGTCATGTTGTCTAGTTGGTCCAGGCCAGCAGCACCACTAGAAGTAGTACTTGTTGCAGTGCTGTCATTGGCACTACTAGTGCTACCACCTGCAGACCCCGCATTTCCCACTGCGAGCCACTCTGCAATTTGAATGGGATCTGTCGTTAATTCTTTGAGTCGTGCTTGAAGATCGCTTTTGTCCATTCCTTGGAACTTGAGTACCGCTTGTCTATGTCTCAGAATGGTCTTTAATTCTTTGTTGCTGAGCGAGTCCATGTCCCTTGGCTGATACTTGAGGTTGGAGAGCTTGAGCGCCACGGTCTTGTCCAGCTCTTCGATATAAACTTGTTGACGACCTTCGCTGTTCAGACTGCTCTGCTGGATTACGCCGATCTTGTCGTTGAATTCAGCCGCCTTGAGACTGTGTAGAATCACACGCGTTTTCAAAGGGAACGGCTTTTTGGCATTGTCACTACTAGCACTAGCACTAGCATCAGCATCAGATGTAGAGGCACTCATGGTAACGTTGTCTCCTTTCTATTCTCTACTTGTTGTCTACTTGTAGTCTACTTGTTGTCCACTTGTTGTCTACTTGTAGTTGTGAAATAATGGTCATTGGCTGCCTCTTGTGATTTGTGATTGCGCGGTGACCACGCACATGGGGCAGACGGACAGACTTTCGATATTCCACGCCACGCTGCATGTACTCACCGTGGAGCTGCGGTTGTTGCCTGGGTCTCAATTGTCACTTGTCACGGCATAGCATTGGTTCCTGCAGCTGACTCTAGAAAGTCACAACAATCGAAGCAACACAAGAAAAGAACTTGAATTGAATTGCAATGTAGCCGCGAGTGAACAGAGATGAGAAGTAACTTTTGATGACTATGACTGCATGTGCACTCTCCAGTGAGTTGCAGGCCATTGGCTTGGCTTGGCTTGGCTTGGCTGGCACAATGCAATAAATGCATTCTTTGCGGCTGGACCGGTACTACCGGTTGCAGGAAAGCATCTCGACTCGGACGATTGTCCCTGGGAATAGCCATCATGGGAAGAAGGCGGGTCCATCACATACATTCGCTTCCTAGTGCCTACCAAGGCATCTTCAACACTGGGTCCATGAATCTAAATTTGCTGACTATAGAGGCCTCTTCAAGCAACCTTCAACACCAATGGCACCCATCCCGTTAGCTACATGCACCGGTTGCTTGCTTCCGGTGACGCAGCTTCTACATGTACGCAACGCTACTAGTATTGTTAATACCGTACCCCGCACTCCTCATTCTGCATTAAGTTTGTGGCTGGATGACGTTGCAGTACCATTGATTTCTTTTCTTCACTGGGCAGTTCACGCAGACACTGGATCACCCAAGCAATACAATGTCATGTATGTGTCCTCATATCATGTAAAGCTCATATAGATACACCGCCCAGGCGACATATTATTATGCCTTGTTCAAGTTGAAGCAAGTGGTAAAACGTAAAACGTGGTACATTGACCAGCACAGCTACGGCTGTACCGTGCCGTGTGAGGACCTCACTGCTGCTGATGTTTCTGTTTCAGCTTGCTTTACCACTGATCGTAGTACATGACATTGTACTTCACCTCCTCCTATTCTGTGTAGACTAGTGTACAAGTGTTGCACCGGTACGGTACCACTGCTCTGGTAGCCACCGGTGGCGAGGACCCTTAACAACACTGCAGAACAAGGGAGCACATCTCCAAAGGGCGACTCGACTCAACTCCAAACCAATCGAGCAAGGAGCGGCCGATACAGTAGATTCAATGATTCGATTCATTGTGCCTCTTGGTCTTTTGTTTAGTCTTTTGCACTGGTTACTGGTTGACTGATTGCAAGGAGGTGACGAGGTGACTGATTGCCCGATGACCGGGCGGGGCTGCCAGTGCCAGACTTCAATCAAACCGCTCTACCCTACTAGTACCTGGTATCAGTAGCTACTGTACCCTCGTTCGTTCGTCGCAGTTGAAAAACTATGCCATAGCTACTAGCTAGTAGTATGAGCAAGCCAACCTTACTGTACCTTTGCTGCATGGAGCTCCGCAAGGATTTCTTGCACGAGAGGTCGTACGGTATCATTTTCCACCAGTAGGGCACGGTACCGGTACAATCGAATCGAATCGAATCGAATCGAAGCAGGCTAGAATGCACATTAATACAGTACGAGCTACCGGTAGCTAGTCCAGGCAGAGCTACAGAATGTCGATAGTACTATGATACATGTATAGTAAGGCATGCATGTGCTAATAGTTTTGTTTTATGTACAGTACAGTGACAGTTTGTGATGTGTTTGTTTCTTTGATTTACAAAGATGCAAACATCATGGGAACAGGGATCATGTTTGTGTTCAAGTTTGTCTTTGAGTCGGTGGAACCGGCAGCAAAGCATACTTGGTTGTCCAAAGGATTGACTTCCATGATGGGAAGCTGCAACATCCAGTCCAGGTCGTCAAGGTCAATGTCAATGTCAAGAGCAGGTTCAGCAGAGGATGCTGATTCCACTTGAACAGAGTCCAGAGGACTGATGAATGACATTGTGTTGGAGAAGGAAGTGACTGGAGCAGGAGCAGGAGCAGCAGCTTTCTTGGCTCTTGGTGGAATTTGGATCTTGAGGGCACCATGGAGGAGGTCATTGATGCTGGAGGTGGTGCTAGTGCTGCTGGAGGTGCTACTGGAGGTACTTGAGGTACTTGAAGAGGAGTTGGTGGAGGTGCTTGCAAAAGAGGAGGAAGAGGAGGAGGAGACCAACTCAGTCCTGTGCACTTGCACTTGCACTTGTTGCACTTGGAGAGACCTCTTGAGCTGATTCTTCTTGGCAGAGACAGCCTTGGACTTTCTGTTGGCAAACCTGAGAGCATGTCCAATCTTATCCCTAATGCAGAGTGGATGCAGAACCTCCCATTGCTTGGAATCTTCATTGAGCTTGAGGAAACGGCGAGATTGCATGAGGTCAAAGACGGATTTGGTAACGGCCATCTTGCCTTGACGGGTAGCAGCTTCTCTGTAAGCCACAGTGTGAGCATCAATGACTCCCTTGAAGTACAGAGAACCTTCGTGGGTCATGCACCGCTTGTCTTTGCCGCACAGAATATCTTCAGCCTGAGGTTCATCCACAAACACCAAAGAATCGGCGGCGGTCAAAAAGTTATTCATATTCATGCTGGTGATACCATTATTGATACCATTGTCTTGAAGCAGAGCAGATGTGTTGAAACTGGAAGAGACTGGCAAAATCATTTTGGTGGAGTTTTAGTTGCTTGAGTACGGTAGTTATTGCTTGAGTAGTTGGTTTTATGATTGTGAGGTTTTTAGTTTCGGGCTTTGAAAAATTGTGAGTAAATAGAAAGCCCAAGACATGATGATGCCAAACTAAAAAAAAACTCCGCAGAAAAAAGGGTTTGGCTTCTCCACGTTTTTTCTCGGCGTAATCTTCTAGGCAGTGTCCGCCACGCACGCGCTTGAACGCCGGAGAATACCATCGATGTTGAAATAATAATCCTGCACTCGAGTTGCAAGTCAGTTCAGTTGATACCGTACTCGGATGATCAAAGTTTTACGGCAGTTGCGACACTGCGCTCTCACGGAATGCTTTGAGATACTACTGGAGAGCTGCGAGTGCTACTCCAATATGCTCACGGAATACTTGGAGAGGAGCCTTGTTCTTTGTTGACAGTCAGTGCTAGATTTCACCTTTGCAACCCACCTTACAAAAAAAATAATGGTTCACCTGTTCGCCACAATGGACAAATCCAACAATCCCGGATTTTCAAAAAGGTCTTTTTTCACGCTTTATTATCATTGGCGAATGAAATGACTGAGACAGAGGGGCACAGTTCATCTAAACAAAATTCTGGGTCGAAGTCAAAATTTCTGAAGGGTCATTGTTCACTTTAGTAGTTAATTTCTCCGAATCAGAATCGACTCCCAAATAAATTGCCTTTCTCCACCAAAAAAGACTGCCAAGATCAACATTGTCAACATACATCAGATTCTATCTATCTCCATAGCTCTCCATATATGCTAGCTAGTATTGGACTCGTCACTCTTCAACAGGAGACAAGATGCATCAAAGCATCTTCCACCATGTTCCGCTTTGCTTGAAAAACTCAGTCAATAGCTTGTCGAGGCATTCCTATCTAGCTAGCTAGCTAGCTATAGAGTAACCAGTAACTGTTGATGTGCGTTTCAGTCGCCTTGACGACTCAGAAAGCATCCTAGGATGATGGGAGAACAGCACAGATTGCTTGTGAAAAGCAAGGATTCCTTGATGGATAAAACGGTATTGGCTATAGAGTTACAGACGTCGCTCGCTTATTGCCGATACCGGTGGCGGAGCACTTGAACAAGTGGCCAAGCAGCACGCAATCAGCTCTACCACTCTACCACCCAGACTGGAACTCCTGATCCTGCTTCTGCTCAGCAGGTTGTATAAAACCCGACCCATCAACCAATCGCCAATCCAACCTTGCTTTCTTTCTCGATTGGTCAAGACAGGCTACCCGTGTACCGGTACCACATCAAAAGTCACACACGCCCAATTTGTTCGCTTGTGGTACCACCGGTACCTAAACCATGTACTCGGAGTAGTAATTGTGCGCTAGTAGCTAGGCAGCATCGAGGCTCAGGCCTCATCACACTCCAGTCCTTCTTTGGAGTACTGCACGTGTATGCATACACAAGCTAGCTACATGTAGTACAGTAACTCAGTAACTACTACTCCTGCATTTGTAATAGTCTACCTAGCTCTGCAACTCCAGTACGATAGTCGATTCCATAGCTGTCCCACTGGATCTTCCTTTGATTCGCATATTAGTACCGTACTCTAGCTAGTCCAGTCTGTCAACCTTTTGGTGATCTGACAAATAGATTGAGAATTCAATGTGTGAGTCAGAACGAGAAAACCAAATATTTACAGGATTCGCTTCTCATCAGTGCTATCATAGCCTCGATCACCCGTAGAGAGCTTTTAATAGCTACTAGCTAGCTAGTACGGTAGGCTAGCTACACTGTAGTCCAGTCAACCTTTTGGTGATTCAATGTGTGAGTCAGAACGAGAAATATTTACAGGATTCGCTTCTCAGTGCTATCATAGCCTCGATCACCCGTAGAGAACAGCGACTCAATGAAAGAACACAAAACGGGTAGTCATCTGTATCACTCAAAACTGGTTGTTAAAACTTCGAAACAGCGAAACAGGCCCGTGTTCTTCTTCAATTACTAGCTAGCTACTAGTAGCCTATCGTAGGAACTATCTAACTATCAAGCACACGCGTACCATTTCGGAGCTGTATCGGTACAAGTAAAAAGCTGGAGCAACTGGGAAGCTATGGCATACGATACATGTAGGCTGAGGGCTCCTGTAGCAACCTCGTGATTCCAGCAGCATCCCGTATGGCTCTCGATCTCGCAGGGTCCTGTTAGTTGCTCTAAGCTCTCTTAGTTGTTACTGTTGTCTATTGAGATACTACTGAAAAAGTGGGTGTGGGCTACCAGCTTTTACTACTGGCATCAAATTCTAGTACAGAGGTACAGGTTGAATCCCTAATCACGAATCCCCAACACACTCCTGTGGTCGTCGAGCTTGTCTTAGTCGTCGACCATGCTTACTTACTTACTCCGCTTAGCGCTCCTTCTTTGAAGGACCTTCCTTGTCCGACCGGACCCTCCTTCTGAGTGCCTTGGCTCTGAGTGTTCCACACACCATCAACTTGTCCACGTTCTGTTTTGAACAGTCGACCTTGTTTCGGCTTCTCCAGAAGTCCGCAACCAAATCATCAGTTGGACACCAGATCCACACTGTATCTCCTTCTTTGCGACTCTGTCGCTCACAAAGAAGTACCTAATGTTTATGTGCTTCGTTCGTTTACTACTAGAAACTTTGCCGTTCTTCTCTAGAAGATGGCACTCTTGTTGTCCTGATAGACTATAGTTTCTTTAACTACATAGCCTTGCTCCCGAAGAACTGCCTCGTCCAAAGGATCGATGGCATCAGGTCATCAACTGCTACGAGTTCACTCTCAGTTGAGCTTCTCGTGTTCAACTTCTGTTTCGTCGAAGTCGATATGGGTAACCGGTGCCCATGGTCAAACCACCTCCGGTATGACCCCTCATGTTTGGATGGACTCGAAAGAACCATCAACATACCATTTCAATATGCCACTTCCGTCGCTTTGAGAACTAATGGTAGTTTCTAGTACATCTAATGTACTTCATGAGGTGGACTAGTTTTCCCAATCTTGCCTATCTTGTTCCTTGACTCTAGTCGAAGGAACGATATCGCCGTACTGTGTCTGGTCGGGCTCCTTCGTAGCGAATAACACTTAGCCACCAGGCTGTGAAAGGTGTTGCCTTGCTCGTTGGGAGCTTCTTGCAGGATTCGTCTACTGTGAATAGGTCTTTCGGGCTGCATACTTCTAGTTTCGTGCCCCTTCCTCTGGCGATGCCTTTCGAAGGCTTCCAGGATTATCAACGTACTTGTACATCGATACGTTGCATTGACCCTTCGTCGTGAAGTCTATGGTCATGCCAAGATACGTGTGGCCTTTCCTCGGCTCACCGTCATCTCTCCATGCCGTCCTCGAATATGCTTTCGTATTCATCACGAAGCCTTGGATCAGCTGGTCGTTAACCTTCGAGCCCTTGTGGCTAAGCTTACAGTCTCTACATGCCAGCAGACTGTTGTTGTTGCCGTGCACCATTCTGTTGCTACACATGGTCGAAGGATTAATCTTAAATCCGTTCCGGACCATCGTCTTCCAGAACTTACGGTAGTATAGTAGCTAGCTACCATGGTCCTAGATGCTTCAAGCATTGCAGTACACTGCTTGTTGCCTTTTTATCCGTTGTCACGAACGGTTTGTAGACATCTGGGCTTTTCACACAGCATGTCTACTAGTACTCCTCTTACTCTATGTTACCATATCTTTTTCATCCTCGACTCTTGTCTGGATGAAGGCGTTCGGATTCAATTCTGCCACATCCCTTTCCTTTCAGCGTCGATTATGCGAGAGTAGCACTGCTTCTGTGACACTGTTGGCGAGCTTGGTCTTCCTTGGAGATGAATCAGCTGTTTGTTGCCTCTGCAACCGCTCGGCTTTATCTTCCCGTTCCTTTCAACTTTAGAACAGGTGTGACTCTAGGATACTCTTGCGTTCCATATCGCTGAGTCTTCCATTTTCTTCGGACGAAAGTATCCCTGAGATGTAACTGTTCATCTCGGCAAAGGCTGCATCGTGCGCTTTGTCCTTCCACTCCTTAGTCCAGCCTTAATGACAATTGTGTCATGTGGCTGCTACCACATCAGTTTCTTCTTCTACCTGTGTGTAGAACATGTTGCATCTGGGTGCAAGACACGTTCAGTTGTATGACGTTTGGCGTCTCATATTCTTTCCTCAAAGCTGGGATATACGTTCCTTTGCTTGTGTCCTCACTCTACTGACCTGCGCACTCCTGGCGTCTGCTCAGTGCCGCTTGGGTTCAACCCATCTGGATCTGTCAGGGCTGTTGCCGTAGTAGGTTCCGGTTCTCTACGTTCGACGATAGTTGGTAACGGTTCGATTTTTGGACAACGCGATCGATTGGTTCGTGACTATCGATTCGGCTGTATCGTCGTTGACGTTGTCTTGGGGATCGTCGGGATCATCTTCCATTGTCAATGGTTTCAGCATCGCGTCCAGGTCCTCATCGTTTGGATCATTGGTAGTGGGGTGCGTCATTGCTTTCTTCCCTTCACTCCTGTGATCTCGACTCACCATGGTCTATTTTTTCGATCAGTAAAACGAGTAGTTTAGGCTGATCTTTTCCTAATAAATTGACTCTAGCTATCACTGTGTCGGGCATTGGGATCTTGTCCCATGATGCCGAGTATTTTCTTGCCGGAGCGGGGCTCATAAATTTGTAGCTTCCTTGCTTATTTCCGCTCGTTCCCATACAGATGGCCGCTTTGTGCGTCCTACCATGCTGTTACGGGCGAGTCTTCTTCATCACCTGCATAGTCTCCGAACTGCAGGTCAGGTGCTTTTTATAGTCAGGGACTCTCCCATCATTATCATCGGGGCTCATTGTCTCGCTGACCCCGCCTTACTTGGGAATACGTCAACTGTTTGACACTTGTAAACAAGTTGACGGTATATTTTTGATGCGTGTAAAGTAGCTTGCCGGACAGCTCGTGTCTTCCTTGACTACCCGGTTCTACGTTCGATCTCGGGTCGTGCTCGTTAGCACTGGAACGTTCACTACCGGTCCCCCGGCATTGCCATGATTTTGTTGGACAGAGGCTCAAATCTCATTGTCCACATGAATGGTCGTGATTCTAAAACCAGAGCCTTGTAGAATCGATGACCTCCTTAACTGCTTCTAGGATGGTCTCTAGCTTCTGTTGGGCAGGTGTCTAATGTTGTAAAATCGATTTTACGGCTTAGCGTTAAAGGAACGGAATTCCTGCCAAAAGAAAATGTCCATCGTTAGGAACACATCCTTGTTAATTGCAAAAAGTCTCTCGGCATTTTCATTGCATTGCCTGCCCTGCGTTCGGTTTCGTACAGTGTCTTGCCTTTCAACCATCAATATCCTTCCCCATATACTTGTGCCGTTTCGATGTCTTCGATGGTCACAGGGCATTTGCGATTTGATTGCTCATAATCGCCATCGGAAATCTTTAATCGTGGATAGACGATTTGCTTATATAGCAGCTTCGCCCTTGATGCGGCTTTAACTTGTCTTTTGCTGAAGCCTTCCTTATTTTCGGCGACAGTATTCACAAGTTCCTTCCCATTTTTCCTAGGTCATGAACTTGTAATCCTTCACTGTTCTTTCGTATACTACGTCCTCCTGGTTAATGACTGTGTAGTTCTTTCGGACAGTCATAGACATTTGCAATTCTTGCGGACATCTTAACAGATAAGATGTTCGTGATTCCTCTTTATCGAACCATACTCTCTGTTTGTGCCAGCTAACTTGGCTTGTGCTGGACCTTCAGCTGCCTCCGGTACTCTTCACGTAATTGGACGATCGGCTTCCTGATGTCGGTAACCAGTCTTTATTACAGAATAGATCAACGTGACTGGTTGTCCAGTAGCTGGACTCTCTCATATCTATGTCGTCCAATCCTTTTGTGTGGCGACTATGCTCTGCTTAGTCGGTTTCTTTGTTCCGTCGTCTTTGTTCCGTCCGAACAGCACGTCGAACGTAAGAAACTTTTTCGACTTTCTCTCATCTGATGCGTGATGTAGAGTCGCATCATCCTCTTCGAGGTTAATGCTTTCGTCAATTTTATCTTGATTTGCTGATAGTAGCTGGGTTCTCCTTTGAACGTACTAGAGCTTTTCTTGCTACGTGCTTGACTTGCTACACTTGCTCTACCTAGACTTGTCATCGTCGTCTTGTCTTTATCTTTGTCTTATCTTTGTCTATTTTTGTCAGGACAGTGGATGCTGGATGTCCTTTATCGTGGAGGAAAAGCATTCTTTCTCTTTTCCAGTATTCTTTATCATAGCTTCGCGTTTCCGCGGCCTTTTCCTCTGCCACCACCCCGTCCTCCCGCCTTGTGCTGTCTGAGCAAAGGAGCTTCCGTGGGAATTGGACTGTCGTGGGTGTTATCTCTTGGTGTTTTTGTCCAAAAGGTGTAATACTTCATGTAACGTGTGGGATAGTTATCAGTGCCTTTGGACAAGTCGTCCCTCAGTTTCTTTTTAAGCTTGGTATTTTCGCTGAACTATTTGTTAGAAGATGTAACTATAGTACGTTCTTGCGTATGCCGAGACTTTCTTCTGGTCATCGGCTCAGGTCAGCGTATGCTGTTTTTGGGTGGAGTAGTTTGCCGTATGAGCAGGGCTGCATCGTGTAGCTTGGAAATACCCACGGATTTTGCAATGTCCTTTTCGTGGTAAATTGCTCGTGGTATTGGAAGCGGTAAGGCTCCTTGGTGGAAATTAACATTTGTTTTTCCAGTTGGAATATGTGTGGTACACAAAATTATCATCGTCTGGGCCATGATCGTCTTATGATCATTTTTGTAGCTCCAGTGGTCGCATCTTAACAGACGATCGTTCGTGTTCTGCTTCATTTGTCCTTTAATGTCGGTCACTGCCTAGGATCAAGTTGAATGCTTGCCTCTATTTTCTTGTAGTTTTGCCAACCTCGAAGGTGGGTCTTCATAGTCCTCCATACTCTGTTCGAGTCCCGGAGTTCCTCTCCGGTGGATCTTCTATGGCTGCATGAGGTTGCATTTCATTTTCGATTTTTTCTTTCTCTATCGTTAGTGCTCGTAAGCTACTAGAGTTGGGTCATCAGTGACCTCGTCTATCTCGTCTTCCAGTACTCTAGGCTTTCCTCGGTGCCGTTAGGAGACGAGTGTTGTTCTGTTCACGTCGTTCCGCGCCGTGTCAAGCCTGTTTCGGGTCTCTATCGACAATCCTTGTGGTTCTGCGATGAAACTCTTGCTGCCGCCGACGAAACTCGTCGTTGGTTCAGTCTTCTCTCGCGTCGTCGCGATCGATCCGTCCTCGGATCTTCACTTGTTGCGGCGTCGCTCTCGTTGCGTCGTCGCGTTGCTCATCGAAGGGCTTCTTGTTGCTGCGATCTCGACAGGCTTGTTTGTATCGTTTTCGCACGACGATCCTCGGTCTCCGATCTTGTCTCCGGTCGTGGCTTCTCGTCGCCGATCTCGCTCTTTCGCGTCGCGATCTTCTGCTACCGATTGACTGCTTCGATAGGCTTCTCTTCTTCAACTCGATATAGACCGCTTTTTCATAGTATGTTAGTTGCTCTAAGCTCTCTTGTTTACTGTTGTCTATTGAGATACTACTGAAAAAGTGGGTGGGTACCAGCTTTTACTACTGGCATCAATTCTAGTACAGAGGTACAGTTAATCCCTAATCGCGAACCCCAACAGGTCCATGCTGTTGCCTGCGGTAGTGGTTCCAGCAAAGTAGCAGCAGGAAGCAGCCAAGAAGGAACAAGGCTCACACTCCTCCTGAGCGACTGCTGTACGGTAGGGTGTTGCTTTTTACCACCATACAAGTCTCGACAAGGCCCCGTTGGCTGGTTTAGAGTGATCACTCAGAGAGCTACCGGTATCAACTTGCAACAGGAGTCTACTAGAGTCGAGTCGATTCTTTGCTGTTGGCTTTCATGATAAGCAGCCAGCAGCCAGCCAGCTACCCAGTGGTCCAAGCAACATCCTTGACTAGCTACCGGTAGCTCTGCCAGTCTCCATCATTTACTAGCTAGTAGTACCGGTAGGTGGCTAAGGAGGAGGAGCGACAGTGGCTGGCCTGCCTGCATCCTGGAAACTGCTTTGGCTGAGCTGGCTGTGTGTTCCTCGCGAGGCGATAGTGTAAAGAAGCTGAATCGAATCGAATCCGAGATTCGAGTACGGGTAGTCAATCAGCTGGCCATTGTAATGGGTTCTTTGTCTGGTTCTACCATAGTGGCAAAGCAGTACTGATTACTAGTACATGTAAGCAGCAGGTTTGCAGAACAGGGTAGGACAGCTATGGACGGCAGTCATCACTCCATTCTCTCGCTCGTAACCCAATACCGTGGGGACTAGCTGTGGTACTACATGTAGTACTACATTTAGTACTTCGGTGTGAATCGAATCCTACATCTAGCTAGATTGTTGGATCATGAACTGCCAAGACGTCTTCTTTTTATCTCTGTACACTGTACAGAGCACATGTTGCATGTATGTAGCATCTTTGCCAACACGGTCTTGGTTGCCAATTATTTTAAAAATTAGCAAAGGTTCCAATAGCTACCGGTACCGGTACGGTGCTCTACAGTTCCTCGAGGTGCCCTGATACCAGTAGGGCAGATGCAGCCTGTCTGGCAAAGAAGCCTTGTCTGTCCCTGTCCCTGCTATTGCTACTAGTACAGCTAGCTAGTACTGTAGTTTGTTGCTTTGGTTGCCACAGGACAAAATCAATTTGCAGTACCGTCGGATGGAATGATTCGATTCCGTGAAAAGAAGCAGCGGAACAGCAGCATTTCTGTGCATCAGCTGTCGATCCTTTTCAATCGCAAAACCTAGAAAGGAAGGGGCAAAAAGGAAATAACGAAAGATATGACCAATTGGTTCGAAAGGTTACCACGTCACTTTTTAACTAGGAGAGAAGGGTCGGCCAGAACCGTTTACTAGTCTACACTGATCTATGTATTGTGTAGTTTGATATGGACTATCTACGATACTCTGATGAGGCTTCTGAGGACCAATTTATCGTTACCTTATTACACATACATGTACTGTACCACTGTACCATACTTCTTCTAAAGAACCATGTATGTGTCCAGGGACGTCACCAAAGCAGGATCGACCAGTACATTCATTCGAACGATTGTGGACTGTGGACGTTATTGGATCCGAGTGGTCAGTTGCCACAAAAAAGTGTATCATAGCGTTTCTTAAGCTTCTGTACCAATGTACCAATACCGGTTCTGCTCTAAGTATCATACTTGTAGGCCAGCTAGCTCATCAACCTCTTCGCACCGTACCATTTGCACGTAGTCTTATGAGAAGAACAAGGCCTCCGAAACGACTTTTTCTCAATGGAAAATCCAATCGCTAGCATGGGATTCTCGTTTTGGTTTTCTGTAGATTTCTACGACAAATCCGTACTAGCTCGGAGTGGTTGCTTCCGCAAAATCGCAGTAAACACGTAGTTTTGCGAGAAGAACAGGCTGCCAACAAATAACAAAAGGTTCATCGATCCATCCTCGTGTCTGTTTTCGTCTGTTTTAGCATAGTTCCAAACTTTCTTCGAACCTCCACCTACAGGCTCATAATTTATTTTCGAACAGCACTCAACCTGACCATGATCTCTACCATGCACCTGAACACCAACATGCCTCCATCTCCTTTGAAACGATCCTTTGGGTCCTTCAATTCTTCCTCCTCTTCTCTCATGGACCTGAACGCCTTTGGCCTATTCGACCTGGACAACCTCAGCACAAGCGCCAGCGTTACCGACTTACAATTGAAAGGCTTGAAAAGCGGACTTGACGATGACCAGAGTCAGAGCCAGAGCAGTCTCATGTGTAAGTTGGAAAATGACCTGGACCTCGATATGAATATGGACTTGGGCCTGAACTTGACTGATGGTCAAAAGCCCTTCAGTCTCCTTGGCAGCCTCATTCAAGCAGAGCAAAAACACGACCAACAAGATGATCAGCAAGAAGATGACCAGCAACAAGATGACCAACAACAAGATGACCAACAAGATGATCAGCAAGAAGCACAAGAACAGGAAGAACCGCCCAAGAAGAAGCTAAAGTTGCAAGCCAAAGCTGAACCTCAAGCCAAAGCAAAAGCTGAACCACAGCCAGCTAAGGTTACTACTATTAATAGTACGGTAGAAGCGGAACAAGCAGAGCCAGAGCCAGAACCAGAACAAGCAGCTTGCCCTTACTTGCTCCATCAGCTCTGCCAAGCCTTTCCCACTGACAAGTGGATCATCAACACTGCTCTGATGCTAGAAGAAAAGGTGGCTGACGTGCCCGCCTCCATTCCTGTCTTGGTCGGTTCCAAGGTTGCCACGGGCAACCATGGCAAGATTGTCGCTATGCAAGCCAAGTCCTCGAAGAAAGACAAGAAGAAACCCCTTATCGACTTTGCCTACCCGGTCAACATTGCCATCAACAACCAAGCATCCTCTGATGTCGTAAAGGTATTGGCAAACGCAGCACCACAAGTCTTGGTACAACCGGAAGCTCCCAGTGGCCTCACTACCTTGCAGATTGCTCTGCAGAAGCAACCCAAGAACTTCAAACTCATTCAGGCTCTCCTGCAGGCAAACCCAACTTCCAGTCAAGTCCTCACCAACCGAAAGAGCACACCCCTTCACATGGCCTGTCAAAAGGGATGTCCTCTACCCATTGTTCAGGCTATCTTCAAGGCAAACCCAGCTGCTCTACACCAACAAAACCTACATGGAGAGACACCCCTCTTGCTGGCTGAACGCACTCTCATCTGCCCAGAGGACGTTGCAAACTACTTGCAAGCTCATGCCAGTCGAAGACTGCGCAAGTAGACCCTACCCTCTCTTTTACATTCACCGTAGCTTGGCGCCAATTCTCCCCCTCCACTCTCCACAAACCTCCTGTACATACAAACTACTGCTTTTGCATCCTCTAAAATTTGATAAACTACAGTACATTCGAAACTAACTACATGTACCCTACTACTTGGCCACCACTACTATTTAAAATTAATAGCTAGCTAACACTCTTAGCATCTCCGTCCATGCTAATTTAATTAATTGCTACTCGTACTACGGTATACTCTGCGCATCCGTACATGTGAACTTGGTCGGCTACTAGAGTAGCTAGTAGCCAGACTGCTGTTGCCACCGATTGCATCATTCGATGATTCATTCAACTCTCTATCTAGAGCTACGGTACTAATAGTGCAGGACATAGCTGCTAGTAGCACTCTAGCTAGCTGCTGGTACTAGGTACATGTAGGTACTCCGGTTACGTGTAGCCGCGGTGGCGGGCCGTGAACCATGACTTTGTCGCCGCAGTGACCGGTTCGGTATTTAAGGTTCGTGCACCGGGAATCCTACTTTTTTACTCTTTCGATAGCTCTTTCGATTGACTAGAAATCTTTTGGATCTTGCGATTAATCATTTAACACGTGGACTCTTCCTTCTATTTAATTAAGGGAAGAATGAGGCTTTGAAAAACGAAGCCACGGAAGTCGGCTGAGGTGTCACCAACTAAATAATATGCCTAATGCGAAGTCTATCCGCGTGGTGCGGGCAGAAACGACCGGCAAGCTAAATCAGATGAACGCCAGGCATAACGATCAACCCCCAATGTACTGTACCACCAATACCACCAATACCACTACTGCTACTACCAGGTAGCTAGTAGCTAGCGGGATAACGGGAGTTGAACGTATCTCATGTTCCATTGAAACACCTGCGTCCAGCACTGCCCGCTGTGTCCAGCATACTCGAGTACTGCCCTATGCCGCTGGCTACTCGAGCAGCGAGCAGCTAGTAGCCTGCAGCATCTATCTCTAGCTACCGGTAGCAGCCAGCAGCCTTGCATGCTGCTTTCAAACTGTGGGAAGGATGGTGGGAGGAATGACGGACAGCGCACCCAAAACGTCGCGAATTCTCAAAATCTCACGAGGAAGTGACCGGTTCGATAATTGGGACTCATAAATACTCACTATCTACAGCCGCGGTCATACTCTTATTTATTTACTTGCGATTGAGTCAAAAGCGTGGAGAACTCGAGACTTAAAAACATTACGGACATAAGAGGCTTCAGGCGGCAAAGAAGGATTATGACACTTCTACACTGGCACTTTTTCCACTAAGTCTTGTACACTTACCTCTACAAGTACCGTCCTTCATGTTCTTTTGAGTTCTACCGTATTAAAATACATGTAGGTCCATCGCCTGGCTGGTATCCACGATTCCGCGGAACGGATAGGTGCAGATGATCACGGATATCCACACTCATGATTCGAGGTTATCCGGGACTCAATTGGCGTCATTCTATTTTTGAGCTGGTCGGGTCATTGAATGATTCGATTCGATTCGATTCAATGATTCGATTCAATCAAAGCGCGAAACGAGCTATGCATACAGCGTACGGAGTGGCTCCTTAGCAGTACCAGGAAGGCCCGCCGTGACCGCCGTGACGTCACTTTAGCGATTCCAAAAGCCAAATAAACCACAGTCTCGCGACTCTCGCGCAAACGCGAGTCTCCCGCGAAACAACGAGTCGAAAACACGAGTTGCGCGAGAGTCGCGAGACCAGCGCGAGTCCCGCGAGTTTTNNCCACCTTGCATTTTTGAAGCCTTCCTGTGAAGATTCATTGGCTCGAGTTGACCAGCTTCCAGTGCATCAGCCCCCACGAACCAAGCCACTCCCAAGGACTACAACGGGAGTAGGTTTCCATCTCATTCAAGTGCAACTAAATTGAAATCCTAGGCTCCCTATCAAGGTCCCAGGAAGTCCCATTTGTGTATTACATCTACTACCTACTAGTATCCTACGTCGTACATCGTACATCGTCGCCCGAGGCCTCGTGCATGCAGGAAAATGGGTACAAACACAGGAATCACCGCCAAAAACACTAGGAAATATCAAAGAGGGATGAATTCAATAGGAGGATCCGCTCTCCTCTGTGCTTGCATGTTCTCGTGTAGCCTCCTCCGGTTGACTGTTGGAGAAACAATCTGTTCAGGCCGATGATAGAGCTGGTGATATTTTAACAGACTAGACTCAGACCATGATAGCCAGCTCCAGAGATAGTGACTCAGTCTGGGGTCCTAGTACTGAATCCTGGGTGAACAGTACGGGTACATGTAAAAGTATTAGTATGTGTCCACGCTACGCTGCCAAGTTCACTTGTTGCAAAGTCCCTTTGCGTTTTGGCAGAGGGGCCCTCCAAATCCAAAAGAGGTGAAATCAAAAAGACCAATGCACTAGGGCGTGCCTTGGGACGTCAAAAAGTTTGCAGATGATGCCTGGATGGCCGCCTCAGCAAGGGCTTTGGTCGTCACCGCGCAACCCCCGAAGACGACGAGGGAACACGCGGGTGGCACCATGATTGGTACCTACCCAGGACACGGATGTTGTCTTTGACATACAACGCCCCAAATGACTCTCTTTGCTGGCAGGACTCACTCGAGCGTCGATGGTTTGTGCTTCCTCTTTCGTTGTTTGGAATGGACGACCGAAGTGTTTCAAGCAACTCCGAGAGAGAAAGAACTGTTGAGCCAGGAAAGTAAGTACGTACCGTTCAAGATGCTACATGTATATTATGCACCACACATGTACATGTAGTAACATCAAGAATCCACCGTTTCAGAACACGACGTGATGAGAGTAACTACTAGATGAAGGACAAAGAGAAAGCCGTGCAGTCTGTGTATTCATGTCGTCCATGTAGTTTACGGTGTTGGCAACACATACATGTACATTGAACAGGTGGAAAACGAGCTCGCCTCCGTCGTGACGAGCATGCAATCCATTAATCCATTTTAAAATGTTTTAAGTGGTGTGCTTCGTAGCTACAACATGTACAGCGGGTCATGCTGCCGCTTTCGTTTGGCGCGTAACGTGCGGCCGAACGGGAGAGGCCGTTCAAGTTGAATGAATACGGTGCCATGACCATGACTTGGATTGCAGCCCTAGCCAACTAGCTATTGATTGATTGAGTCTCGGTCGACTGCCACGGATCGATCGACGCTCTCGGTGTGATCTCGACGTTCGACGTTCGACGTTGATGAAGCTCAGAAGCAACGACTGCTCTGATTACGAGGGTGGTAAGACGTACGAGTACGGTACATGATGTAGAGACGTAGCCAGGCACCGGCAGTGCTTCACGTGTCACATTATGGATATTTGTATTAGTCTAATAGTTTGGTGTCCGTATCGTTTTGGCATGGTTTTGGCTGCACGCAGCTGCATGTTTGCCATGGCTGGACTGGCTGCTCTAAGTTCTCAGAGGAGATCCTCGAGCCAAGTGTCGGGGCCATGATGATCCATGAATACAAGCGCGAGCTGATCTACCATGGTTTCGTTTTCGGTTTCGTTGTGTAGTGCAATTTGTTCCCTCATGGCTGCATCGACATCCTGTAAAAAGTTGAGGATTTGTTCTGGTACATTAGAGTTTCGTTGTGAAATCTGTAGGGGTGTTTCTCCATGAGAGTTGGTCTGTAGGAGGGCAATGACCGCGAGAGAGCAAGGTCTTGGTCGTTGCATGGCAAAGGGCAGTGGGGTGTTGAGAGACTGAACGAGTTTTGGTTGTGTAGGGTGTCTGTATAACGCAATCTGAGAGTAGAGTGTGCAGCTTGTGCGAGGAGCTTGATGACTTACTTGTATTGGGGTATTAATAGGGCTAAGTATCTTTTATCTGTTAAGTCTTTGAGTATCACTCCCTCGCCACTACTCATCCAAACATCCAAACCAGATGCAAGGCTCTGCTCATGCAGCATGCAGCCACTAACTTTAGTGATTGTACATGTTTTATACATGAGTTTGAATGCAATGCCATAAGCTACATGTAACAGGCAACTAAGGTACCGGTACATTCTCGCACAGCCATACTTGCTAATACGGTACCGGTACGTACAGGTAGAATGTCATATGATTCACTCTCCAACAGCAATCGAGAGTCTTGGAGTAGACCAAGCTTCTGGGAATCTGTCTGCACCAAGCTTTCCATCTGTAACGGTACTAGTAGAACAACTCGTACCGGTACGACTGCCAAGGACGACGTCAAGTCGGAAGAAGCCCAACGGCGGCGTCATTGTCTGAACCAAGATGGTTACGTTCGAGTAGACGAACCGCTAGATCCTGGCTTGGTACAGAAACTTCGTGCCGGCGTGGAATCACTGCAAGCAGTAGGTTACCCAGCCTCCTTCATTCTCCTCTTTGACGAAACATGGGAGCTGGCCAGCGTTTCACGGCACATTATGCAGCAGTCGACGCACCACAAGAATCAATTCAATTTTGACATTTTGGCATGGTACATTCAAGGCGAAGGATTCAGTCCTCATCGCGATCGTCAACCTGAAAACGTAAAACACAGTTTCCATGGTGCTGCTGAAAATGACAATGACAATGACAATGACAATGACGCCAAGTTTGTCACTCATTGGATAGCGCTCACGGATGCCACTCCTGAAAACAGTTGTCTCTATGTCATACCCAAACCACACGATCCTGGATACATGAGTGGAGACACGGACACACAAGACCCCTTGCAACGCGCCCTACCCAACAAGCAAGCCTTTCAACACATCCGAGCACTGCCAAGAAAACAGGGCACGTCATTGCTGTTCACGCATAGGATCATTCATTGGGGGTCCGCAAGAGAACCAAACTCCAAAATGCCCCCTCGAGTTGCCATTTCCTTTGTCTGCAGTGATCCTGCCTTTGAAAAAAGCTACTTGACCCGTGCAGAACAACATTATTTCTGCTCGTCGTCGTCATCATCAGAGATCTCAAGTGGGCCTCCATTTCACATTCGATTGCTATTGGTGTGCGCACAGTTGCTCATCTATTACCAACGATTTGACTTATCCAAGGATACGGTTCAAGCGTGTTATCAATATTGCAAAGACCACGAGGACGAGTTGGAGGAATCGTACCGGCAAAAAGTATTTTTGGAATATGTCAAGGCCATGAAGGAGCAGCAGCAAAAGCAAAAGCAAAAGCAAAAACAAAATCAAACAGAGGACAATAATTGTAAGGCTGCTGCCGAGAAGGATGAAAAGCTGAAAGAGGACAGAGAGGACGACGATGACGATGACGATGACGATGACGATGACGACGAAGAAGAAGCCATGTTGGAAGAAATGCTAAATGCAGAGACTGGAGGGTACGGGGACCAGTTTGAAGATGACTATGATGCAGCCAATGACGATGAACCTGAGGATGGAGCTCTAGATCTCCAGGAGATGAATAACGACAATGACGATAAAAATGACGACGATGATGAAGAGGAGGAAAGTGTCTCGCTGTTCGGAAAGAGATCATCCACCGATTCTGGGGAGAAACAGGGACGTGCCTCGAAACGATCCAAACAACCCCCGAGCTAGCCAATGAATGCGGTACGAAAGGTGCCGGTACCGGTACGGTATTCACCCCTGGCAGCAACTTTTAAAAAAATGAAAGAGAGGTGCAATTTGGGTTGCTTACCCGGTGCCTCCTTTTTACTACATGTAGAGAGCAGGAGTGCCTTCCACCAAAGAGGTTCAACTTGGCTGAATGGCATACTAGCTAGTACCTGCACTTTCACTATTATATTGTATTCATCTATGCAGACAACATGGCGGCCCGGGATGTTCAAATAGCCTCACATTGTCTTTTGTGTCGATCACATTCGATTGATTCATCTTCGAATACATCATGTACTAGTACAAAAATGCATTCGAATACTCTATGTAAAATCATGAGGTCCCTTTTAATCAACGTACAGTAGCTTGTACAGTACTGTGCTGTAGAATGTACAGTAGTGTACACAGTAGAAAATTTGATATGGCGGGACTTGCTAGCGAGGCTTTTGTCTTCTTCATGCAGGCATGAAGGGCTTTGATCACTTGTATGCGAAGTTGTTGGCATTGGCGTGTAGCTCTCTAACTCACATGGGTAAGCAGTCTTGTGGCATTGAGACGCCTAGATTTAAACAATACGTGAAGATCTTACTAGATTGTGATTCTTTAAAGTTCAATTGCCTCCCATTTGTTAATGAATGGTTGCCGTGGTCATCCAAGAAGGCAAGCATTCGTAACCGAAATAACTCTTTTTGATCGTGATGTGCTCTTGGTGGTTTACCTATTTATTCGTTCCGGCAGAATCTAGCGGCAAAGTGACTTTTTGGCAGCTCACATTTCATGCAAAGTTTAGTTAAAACCACGATTACCTTTGGGTTGGTCATCTTGCTGGGTCTTGCCGTTGCAATTGCTGTTGCTCGAGGATATTTTGCCAGAAGCTCTTGATGCCATTTATTCCACCGCTGCAAACCTGTTGGCCTGTTGGTACCAGCTAGCTACATCTCTGCTGCTAGCTAACCACAGTTGCCATTCCTTGCGGTGATCAAAGAAGGCTCGACCTAGCTTACTATTACTAACAAGCTAGCTAGTAGTCACTTCCTCAGGTGGTGCTTTATTCACCCTTCTACCATTTTTTAACCTACGGAACCAAGTGTGACTCCGTCATTGTTCTAGCTAGCTAGAAGCTCACAAGACCAAAACAGAAAACACAAAAAGTATAAATTTCACGACCATGGGCTACAATACGGCACAAGACAAACAAGGGCGTTCAGTCGCTTTCAGCAAGAAGCAACGGGTAAAAGCGATTCCCAGTCTGTGCTACTATGACGCTGAAGACGTGGAAGCGCTGTGGTACTCCCGCAAGGAAGTCGAGAGCTTCAGTTTGTTAGCGGACGAGCTGATTGTACTAGTAGAATCGGGTGAAATCCCTGCCAATGGCCCGGACCACTCCATGCGTGGCTTGGAGCGAAAGACGGAAGAGGGAAACACAGAATCCTTCATGAACCGAGTGGGAGTTTACAACGCCGTTTTGGATGAACAGGACGCACAGTTGATCAAAGGCCAGCAACAAGCAATCAATTGGGACAAGATTGCACAACTCTCGCAAAGAGCTAGCAAAGACGCCACTGTGCAAGCCATCAAGAGAGGCAAACAAGATCAGGCTGACATTCAAGCCTATCAAAAGGAGACTACTAGTAGTGCTGCAAACAGCAGCAAACCATCTGTCACACCTTCCAATAGGGTTAAGGCTAGTACTGCGACTCCCACGAGCTCCAGGACGTCTCGTTCCCAAAGAATCAAGCAATCGACTGGGGAGCCAGAGCTCACCCTCAGTGATGTCTTTGCCAAGACAAACTCCAAAAAGAAGTCTAACGATAGCTGGATCACTGCGTCCACATCGTCTTTGTCCTCCTTTGAAGAGGACGAGTCTGCTCAGGAAAAACGAAAGTCTGCAGCTGCTGCTGCAGCCTCAACCCCCACTAGTACAGCCTATGTGGCTCCCGGCAAGAAGTCGGGCACTTCTGGAACACGTGTCAGGAACAAGATCAAGAGAAACTGCACTTTCAAGCAAACAACCCAAGTGCCCGGAAGGCTCCGTGGTGCCGCATTGGCCAGTGCTGCTGCTTCGAAAGCCTGCACAAAAAGCCCCGTCTCCCCTGAGCCTGCAAAACCAGCAGTGACAACAACTACAAAGGCAGTAGCCAAGCCAATAACAGTGAAGGCGGTGGCCAAGCAATCAGTGACGACAAAGCCTGCTGCTACCTCACAATCTCCTGCAACCATCAAACCAACCGCCGCAACGACCGTGGCTCCTCCCAAATCCAGGGCTTCTGTTTCACCCAAAGCGTCGAAAAGGCGCGCTTCTACTGCAACAACCTCCACGACAGCCAATGTCGTCAGGAAGACAACTGCCAGGTCTGTATCGCCCAGCAAGAAACAAGTTGTTACACAGCTCAAAGCGACCAAGAATCCTCCACGAAAGACAAAGTCGGCATCTGAAGCAACACCATTGCCACTCAGGTCAAAGGTACTTCCGACCACCACCAGCCGAGGCAGCAAAGTCATGCCAAAGACGACGCAGCGCAGGTCTGTCCCAGCCGCTCCTGGCAGAGGACCGGTTGCAACCACCCCAATTCCGGGCAGAGGAAAGGGGCGTGCGCTTGATCTTTCCTGTGTCTTCAACTAATAAGGGAGACCACAGGATGCATTCGCTCGTCTTCTCGGACTGTCCATTATCATTGTTGTAATTCATAGACTTTTAATAAAAAAGGAATGATAGATAGATACAACTCTCCCTATCCACTTGCAATAGCTGAACGCACTGCCTCGACAAGTAGACGAAAGCGGTCTGGTCTAGCAAGAACGAGACAAATGACCTGTGCAGGACGCAGCAAATCAATCGGCGCGGATGTGCGATTGGATCCTGTGAGTGACCACGCCTTTTAGCCTCTCTCGCGCCCTCCGCAGCTTGTGCGGTCCTTTTGCCAATCCTTCTTGTGTCTTTCGCCCCCAACCTTGCACATCAAAACGAAACGAGGGGAGGAGGAGCCAGCTATGCGTCTTCAGCCCAAATCCTTTTGCCAATCCTCCTTGTGTTTTTCGCCCCCCAACCTTTTTAACCTTGTACATCAAAAAAGGAACGAGGGAGTTGAATGTAATGTATTGATCTATACTGCTGAAACTTTTATAGAAAGTGCAAATGTGCAACATGCAAACAGGGTGTCTCTTCCCCACACCCATTTTTAAAAGAAGCACTCCAATCTAAGCAGATGGAGGCACCACTTCTTGTTCGCTCTTCTCTTCCGCTGTTTCGTCATTGAACTTTTCCGCTTCTGGAGGGAAGAGATTGTTGTACTTCTCGAGCATCTCCGCAACTTCGTCTTCCCCGCGAGACTCCCACTCCTTTCGGTTTGCAAGTGCGTAGTTGAGGTATTCATCACAAGACACACCAAAGACACCACATTCTTTCAACTTCTTTGCGAGGGGGATAATGTAAAAGTCAAAGAAGCCTATGATCGATTGCAAATTGTTTGCAAATGATGCGCGACAGTTAGCATACCGTGTAATGCAAGATGATGGATATTAGCGAATGCTGGAAAGAACTTACCCATCTCTCCTTTATACCAGAATTCGGCGGGGTCTCGGCCGGCACGACCAGAGCGGTAGGCATGAAGGTTCTCAAAGAAGAAGTTCTGTGGGTGGCAAGCAAACAATTCAAGGCAGCAGAGAGTTAGAAAACTGCAACGGCTTGCTGGCTATATGTGGAGACTAAAGGTCTGTCGATCGCTTGCTTACCTCGTTCCACTTGCGGTAAATGTGCCAATGTTGCATCTGAAAGGGATAAAAAGCAGGAAGAAGTTGAGTGAGTTCCAAAAAGTTCACTGAGGAGTGTGTCCTCTGCTGTCTGGCTCGACTTGACTTACTGTGTGTGCGACATCACTGGCTTGAATCAAGTGCTCAATCTACAAGAACGAACGAACCGGCTCGTGTGAGTGGTGCTGTGCCCGTGATGATAGGATACCCATCGAGCTCAACGATGGACTTACAACGATGGTAGCCTTTCGGTTGACGTCCTCTTGAATGGCAGCAGCATCGTACAAGACCTTGTGTTGGAATGCTTTGTCCCATCGAGCGTTTCGGAGTTCTTTGAGATCTTTATCAACGATGTCCGTCTGGGAAGGTCGAGTTAAACGAAAGATGAACGGTCCGTGATAAGGTTTTGCTTGCAAAGCTTCAAAAGATATATATTGAGGCGGCACAGTAATAAACTTACGGCCATGACTGTGTTCACGACGAGTTGGCGGAAACGCTTCTTCTCGTTCTCGCTGGAGTAGATCGTGGCTCGTAGCTCGTTGAAGCTCTCATCCATGAGCAAGTCGAGGGCAATGTCCACTGGAGGACAAAGAAGAACGGAGGATTCAGTGAGTTGAACCTGACGCGGGGAAGTTACAAGCAAAGAGCGACCGTGGAGTTGGAGGCTTACCAGAGTTTTGCTCAGCGATACTCTTGTTCTTGTAGACCTTGGCTAGACGGCTGCCCTCCTTGATGAGAGTTGTGTTGGGGACGCCAGTGTGATCTAAGAGCAGCGAATGAACGAGCTTGCAAGGTAAGGCGATGTCAAGGAGAGCCATAGACGAGATTCTGTTTTGAAGCGACGTACCAACGTCATGGACGAGGGCGGACAAGACAACGGCGAATTGTGTCAACGGATCGCTAGTGATTCTGAAGAGATCAAAAGAGCAAAACGTTGAACGTGAGATGCTTTTTGAGTCAGTGTGGGAAGTGGCACGTAAGGCAGAGGTTGCTGTACGTACCCATAGGTGTGGTCCTTTGGTGCAAAGAGGAGAAGATGGGCGCACGCACACATGTAAGACGACAGAAGCAGGCACCAAGGAGGGAACGTAATTAAATCTTACGTGAAGATTCTTTTGCATAGCACCCTCGTCATCCTGCTCGGCGGAAAGGACTTCTTCAGGAGCCACAACACGGGAGATCATCTTGACCACTACATTCAGAAACGAAGTTGCTTTTGTGTGAGGCCAAATGCATGGTAAAGTGTGCCTCTGTCCTCGTGGTCTTGGGCTTACCGCTCATGGTGACATGTGAAGCATGCTTTGCGGAAGAAAGAATTCGGCAAAGGCACAATGAGCTACGAAAAAACAAGACAAGAGGTAGGCAGCGCCGTTTTTGGCTCACCTCAAAGTTGTGGAATGGCACTTCACTGCGGTAGAGAGAAGCGATGACTGTAACATAGTTGTGCAACTGATCTGTGACTTCCTTGTCCAGCTGAATTGTGCGGGGATCTTGCTGATTTCTGGCAGCCTTGGCATCAAACTTTGGCAAAGCAATCACTTCCTTCACCTCGTCGATCACAGTGCCACCAGCAATGGAACTTTCGTCTGTCGCGGCCGATGAAGCGGAATGCAGGAGTGCCTTCAATCCTTGCTGAGTCTTGGCGTTCCTCCTTGCAACAATTTGCTTAAGGAGACGGTTCAAGACATCCGCGTTCCACCGGACAAGGCGCTGAAGCTTGGGTGGAAGAGGCTTCTGTTCCTTCAGACTCTTGTCAACTGCCTTGGAGACGCCGTTGTCGTCATCGCTTTCGTCGCTCATGCTGGCAACGTGGTGGCTCTCGGTAGCCATTTCAACGGGAGCTTGGTCGGTTGAACTGTCGCTGGTTGCGGACTGTTTCCTCGGCGCTACGAGCCAAAAGGTCTCCATCTCTCCTGCGGGCCAGAAAACAATTGAATGAGTGAGAAGGTTGCAACTCGGGGAAGTCGCACCAATTCTATCGTCGAACTTGCCTTTGCCCTTGGCGACAATCTTGTCATCCCGTTGCTTGGTCCAGTTCTCTTTACCACCAGCTCGGAGTTGCTCAGCGGTCTCGAAGGACATGTGGATGCGGTCTCTCATTCCTGTGGACTCCATCCTTGCTGCGGTGTTGACTGTAGAACCGCAAAGAAGAGCGGACAGCAAAGTGAGCAATGAGGAAAGACATCAGGATCTTTGGTGCGATTCCAAGCGCCACATACCGGTATCTCCAAACAACTGGAAGCGACTCTTATCGCCGCGCAACACACCTGCTGTCACGGGACCACTATAAAGTGGGGAAAGAAGTTTCCGGTACGGTCAATGAGCGAACACAACGAGTCACCATGCATGCAGCCCAAAAGAGCACTCCTTCCTTACCTGTGAAGACCAACTCTCAGACCTAGATCACCCGTGTCTGGACCGAGTGTGTTTTCCAAGTCCTTGCAAAGTGTCTGCATCACGATTTGAATGTCTCGAGCAAAGCGACACATGGCAGATGCGTGGTCCTTTCTAGGTTCAGGCAATCCGCTGACGGCGACGTACTAAATGTTGAAGAGGTGTAGAGGCATGTGGGTGAGGGGGGAGAGAACGGTTTGCCAGCAGTTCCAACAAGAAATGAAGTTACATACACAGTCACCGATCGTTTCAACTGCACGAAGAGGTGAGCAAAAACGTTAGATACCACAAAGAGTGGGACCCGACCCAAACTGGAGGCTTGTTCTTCGCAGTTGAGCCTTACCCTTGAAGATGCGTCGACGCTTTGCAATGCTGCAGTCGTTGAATGATCACTGTATTGTAAGACCGCGTTTCCGGCGAAGCCAGGCACAACATCCGCAATCGTTCAGACCTACCTGTCGAAGCTGGCATAGAGAGTCTGAAAATAGAATGCATGTTAGCCTCAAATTGTTTGGCAGACAGGCACCAGGCGTCACCAGTTTAAAGGCAGCTTACCTCAAGGAGGACAAAGACCTGGCTAGGTTCTCGAACGGAACTCCATGCAGTAAAGCCTGAAAGAATGAGAGAAGAAACCGTGGCAAACTTTTGGTTGAGCACGTGGCAGGGCAAGCAGGTTTGAGGGAATTGAAAGAGAGACTTGTCATTGACTTACCAACAATGTCAGCAAATAGAACCGTACAGGCAGGGAATCTGTGTGCATAAGCATTGAAATAAAGGTGCGTCAGTGGCACAGACTATATTTGACAAACGACAATGGGGTGACAAAGATATCATTTCACTTACAGATCGGCAATGGGTTTGGTATCGTAGACACCAGCAGCAACATTGACAGCAGTGTTCTTGTCATCCTGCAAAAAGTCCTTCATTTGGTTCTTGACCGAGAACTTGAACCTTGCGGAGTCATCCTTGCCTTTCTTTTGTTCGTCAAGGTCCTTCATCATGCGATCAGTAATACTTTTGGGGAAGAGAGAGTGCACAATGGCCGCGGACTTTGCGGCCGAATCCAAGACCTTTTGCTGTCGTCGACGGACATAGATATCGTAGACGAGGAAGACAGCGGCCGTCATCGCAAAGACGAGGAGCATGCAAATGGCATAAATGACGGGCTGGGGGGACCTGTAGGCGTCTTCGAGTTCATCAGTGGGGTAGATACGAAGAACGTATTGGCAGTCTCCAGAGGCTTGAGCTTTGGTTCTGTCGTTATGAGGTGATGATAGATCCAGTACGGAAGATCGTTCGAGATGATTGTACTTGGGGTCGTGGAAGTCTTCATAACCGAGGAACTCGACATCGTGTCCCCTCACTTCAAAGGACATGTCGTCTCCGCAAGATCCATGCATGACCACCAACACGGGGTGGTCGTCAACGGCGAGGAAGGAGCTGAAGAAGGAACTCCAGTCGATCACCGCCGCAACAGTCCCAACAATCTTGGCGTCTTGAGTAAAGTTATCGTAGATCGGGCCAAGGACGACCGAGTGCGGATTCTCCGTTTCCACTAGATCAGGGGACGAAATCTCGAATGGGATGTCAGCAAGTGGCATGGCCTTGGAGACAATGCTGTTATTGTAGGTCTGCATGGTTTCAAAGGTCTGGGCAAACGGCTCGGAAGAAAGGAGGTTGAAGTTGACCACACGAGGGTTCATAGGAGCCGGAGCTGTTTGCCAGACAGGGAGGAATGGGCCAGGGCCATTCTCGACCGTGGGGACCCTGTTTCCGTTTTGCAATTCTTCCCATCGGTAGATCTTGGAAGGGACGCGCTTGAAATTTTCGGGAAGACTCTCACCAGTGGTGTAAGCGATACCATCTGCAATCCAATCTTCATTGTAGGTAGTAAAGATCTCGTAAGCTTCTTTCTCCACATCAACGATCAATGGAGAAAAGGCTACTGCGACCACGCTTGCAACCTTGATGACATCATGTCCCCTGATCTCGAAGTCTGGCATTGTAATAAACGGCCAAGTCTTGTTGGACGAATGCGTGTAGGACGTGACGGTGTGGGCGAATCCGTCCACTGCCACATATATATCATGGGCTTCCAAGTGGACAAGCTCGTCAATGGAGTTGGCATAGTCATCAAACTGACAGGGTACCGGTAGCAAGGTAGGTAAGAGCAAGTGCAAGCAAGATAGGACAGATAGCAGAAGGTAGTCAGCAAAGTGAAGTCACACACACAAGACATCACCCCAAGGATCCCTGGGCAGCCTGGAAAGCCGGGGGCACAACCAAACAGCACCTCAGCCACGACCCCTGCTTCAGTAGCTGTCTGTCTTAGCTTAACTTGACTTACCTGACGTTCAAAGTCTGCGGTCTCAGCCTGGCGTGAGAAGTGGTAAGCCAATCCAGCAGCGAGAATAGCCGTCATGGCCAAGAGAGAAACAACGGCAACCTTGGATCGGTACAAAGCCCGTGTCTCTGCCTGGGCAATGGCAGACTGGGAGGCTTGCTGATCACTGCTAGTGCCACTCTCAGGGGTATCCGAGGTAGTGTTGTGATTACTGCTAGAGTGATCTTCGTCGCGGAAGTCATCGTCGCTGCTTTCGCTGTCGATTTGCATGTTTTTTGGGAGTGGATCCATGGTTTCCAAGTTAGATAGATAGCTAGTAGTGCCTAGTAGCTAGTTTCAGGTATTGGTAGGGCTGTGTGCTTTTTTTGCTGAAGAGAAGGAATTGTGAGGACAAGTTTCAAGAGACTGAAGCTCAAATTGTGACTGCAAACTACAAGCCAGACTTGGAGACCAGGTCTTCCACTAGCTAGCTACCGATAGACTACCATAGCCTACTTGGAAGTTGGAAAGGCAGGCAAGGTCCAGGCAAAGCTACACAAAAGCAATCTTGAAGCCGCAGTTTGACAACTGAGCCAAAGAACGCGTGCTCCCTGCTCAAGTCAACGAACCCCATTGTGTATTAAAGATTAAAGGAACTTCCCTTGACGAAAACGAGTCATCGATGACTCTAGAACAGTATCCATCGTACGTAGTGACTGCAATACGAACCCTTCTTTTTCTCCAATAAACATTGCCTTGAAGTGAATCCCGTCCTTTATGTAATGTGTACGTAATGCGAACACCGGGATACAGAATGCGAACGTTCATGTCACAAACTGTGTCAAGAAAGATTTATGCAATGTTTCGGAAGCTCTCTTGAAAGAATGCTAAAACTAAAGAAGGTATGTGGAGGAGACAGTACTTAGTACTTTGATAGTATAAGCTGCCCATTCAACCCGAGCAACTGCCCTAATCATTGGGGGTTTTACCAAAGAAGCCTTGCCGGTTACGGTACGGTTACAAACCATCAGATCTTAGCAGATCTCTTCGATCATGGAGCATGTTGCATGTACATGTAGCATCTCGCTTCTGGAGAGCCAAACCTGTGATCGCGGCAACCTATTGGCTGGGCTTGCATTCACCAGCTCTGGCTAGCTACGCATAGCTCTTCTCAGCCTTATCATCACCAGGCATAGGAACAGTATCAGCACTCCAGCTAGGTAAACTTTAGGAGTGACAGTCGAGTCCTTAAACACTGTTTGGAAAACGACGGCTTCCCGTCATCCATACCGGTAGCCAAGGTGTTTAAAAGGTCGTACTACTTGTAATGGCCAGAAACACAGAAAGCTCTGTTAGGTTCTCCATGGTGAACATGAACTCTTCAAGCAATTCAGCCACTGGAAATAATGACCACCGGCCAAATCGGCGGTGGGAAAAGAAAGCCTCTGACACCGCCGCCCTTCAAAAATGCAGCAAACCAAATTTAAGATTAGTGAGTGATCTTCCGAAGAATCCCAGGGAAGAGGTCCCCTCATGTCTTCGGCACTTCGGGCAGTGAAGCAAGGTTACTAGACCTAGCTAGAAAAGGAAAAGGCGGCTACAGGGAATGGTACGATATCTCGCGCATGATCTGACCGTACATGTACGTACTGCCTGGACTTTATCTCTTGACTGGCATCCGCTGGACAAAGCATTGTCTTGCTGGTAAGCACAAGCAAGCACTTTTAGGCTGGAAATGGGTGCAGCCGATCTCTGCAGTGAATCTTCCAAAGATGAAATCTAGTACGACCAGCGAGCTCGCTACTGGTAGCAAGGATAAAGCAGAGGACCAACCAGAGAGCAAAAAATCCCTCACTGAGGGTATTAGAAACATTTCTTCACCCCTGTGTCTTGCCAAGCTGCAGAGAAGAGAATTGATCGATCTCTTGGCATCGCCATGGGAACAGGTCAAAGCAAGAGCGAAATGACTGGTACTGGTACCGCCCTCATCAGATACTCGGTAGTCACAACTTCAATGCATACTCAGTAGCTGACTTGTTTCTACTTGCATTCTTTGAACCACGACAGGTACCGATGACAACGCCAGCCCCAGTTCACACCACGAAATAGCTCTCTGTGAAGGAATACTTGGCCATTCAAACACTGGCGCGAGATAGACAGATAGCTAGAGGAGCATTGCATGCCGCATTGCTTGTCTTTGAGGGCACCCATTGATCACTCACAATTGCCTGCTGAACCAGACCCAGCCCAGCCCAGCCTAAGTCATGTTCTCGAGTATGAGCGATTCCAACATCTCGTGGGCTGTAGCAACTTCAACTCGTTCCATCCAGACTGCAACTTCAATTTTGAACCTGCATCCACAAGGATTTTGATCTACCGGTATGATAGCGCCCCCGCCCAACACGCAGAGCCGCTTAGTTTGGCTCTTGAGAATGTAGTAGTGGGTGGTCAGTTGATAGCCCATGTGCCCACGCTCCAGCTGTTGCGGCGGCATTGATGGGTATCCTACTAGCTAGCTAGAGACCTTCCTTGGCTGGGTAGTAGGCAACTCCCACCCGCCTCCTTGTAATGCTCACGATAGTCAAGCAACAGCTTCCAGTTTCTCATAGCTGGGATCTCTTTGGCTTCAACCCGAGGCAATGGTTTGGCCACTTTCTCCACTACAAGAAATTGTTTGATGCATCTGATTAGCTGTATATCTACCTGCTAGCTAGCCTGTCATCAGTGCCTACAGCGTAGATGGCTGCCTCGAGAGAGATTGCTTACTTGAAGGTGGACTGAAACCAAAAACTAACTTCCGAGTACTACCGGTAGTATAGCCTCCTCCTTTGCATGCCGCAAGATTCAATTCACTCCAGTCTCCTTGATATTGCTATTGATGCTGAAGCTTTCCTCAAGACCTCGTTCCTACCATACCGGTAGCTTAGCAAGACTAGTGTCGGCTTGATCGTAGTAGCTATTCAAGCAGCACCAGAGACCCCAAACAAGACAAGCGTTGCTTCTTCTTCTGCTTCTTCGTTTTTGGATGCCCTGCAGTATCCTCTGCATGACCGGTTGCTAAAGCCTGCTTCGTACCGTACAAGGATAGCAAAACGAGGCTGAACGATGTAGGCAGCCTTGAGTGTGAAAGCAATGTTGAGATGCATGTTGTACCAAAGCACCCTGCCAGGTATCCAAAATCCGCAATGAGAACCAAGATAGATGTTGGGAAGCTCTCGCAATCGCTCCTGCCTGTTTGGAATACCACATGAGAAACATGTTCGATGTGGAGTGAGATGTCTGGTGAGGGAGATGGTGGTGGATGAGAGTTGTGAAAAGGTGAACGAGTGCAGCTCTTCGCATTGACTCAGTGGTATATGTCAATTGCTCCCCATTCTTGCTTTTCATCGCTCTTGCTCCCTCCTCCCCGGTTTGCTTTGCTTTGCTTTGCTTTGCTTTGCTTTGCTTTGGACTGCATACACGTCCTTGCTTCGCATTGTTGTAGCGTTGCTGGTTTGTGCATGTGCGCATCGATTTCTTTTCATCAATGCTAATGATGCTTCGTCTTGACCCTCATGTCCGAAATAACGTACCCACCAACCGAATCTTTCTGGCTTGCTACCATAGCGGGCTAGCTAGCTAGTAGCCAGGCATCTATGCTAGACAGGCCCTCACTTTCGCCGCGCCAAGCATTCGTAGCGGTACGTCTACTGGACAGCGCAGCGCCGAGACGCTTCGTTATATTTCGATGCATCAAATCAAGCAGTTTCAGAGCTTGACTTTTCGAGAAGGACGTCTGCAGACTAGCTAGACTGGACGTAGTACTATAGCTACTGTAGCTAGATTCTATATCACAGCGTTTCAGAGCAAATGTATTCATTGCTAATACTGTTCATGTTTTTTAAAATTTAACGTGTAATGCGCAGCGGATGAGAGACATGATATGTGTACATGACTTGGCCAATGCAGTCAGGTACATGACATGTAATGCATGTATTCGAAGGGTGCCCCATCTCGCTGCGTTGTTTTGAATGATCTCCAGCTGGTATTGTCAGTAGCTAGTATGTAATCAGTAGCCAGAGAGTCGAGTCAGTCTCGTACAGTACAGTACGTACAAAGAAGTGTTAGTTTCTGTCTGTTTTGCATGCTTGAAAGTTACTGTTGTTCCACGGAAGCACTGGATGACGGAGAAGTGGTGAGTAAGACTTCGCTGGGGTATCGTTGTGGGAGTCGTGGAGGTGTGTTGGCAATTTGGAAGCATCCCGTGGTGGCTCTTCGAGTTTTATTGCGCGACGCCGTAGGGTTTTCTTGTGTCGTCGTCGTCGTCGTCGTGGTCAAGACAATGGCAGTGGTGCTATTGCGGAGGAGCGTGGTGGTGACGCACTGAACGCTGTTTCGTCTTGTGGGGATTCGATTGCTGTTGTTTCTTCTAATTGGGATTCGACAGCTGTTGCTGAGACGTCCACAGCGACTGACCAGTTTCTTATTCTTGTTGGAGGAGGAATGATCACTGCTAGCAGTAAGACTTCCACTGCAACAAGAGCATCCTCCTCGACTACGACTGTTGGAACTCTTGCGACGCAGCGGAATGGCTGGGAGTGAATGTCGGTGGTGGAAACTGAGCTTTCGTGAGATGGGCGTGCGTGCGACTGCCTTGGCTCGCTCGGCCATGCGTGTGAGTCGTGTCTGTCTTGCGAGGGGCTTGCGCACAATAGGACTGGTGGGACTGGGACTGGAGTTTCCGGAGAGACTGAGCGATCTTTGCGGAAAATGAGGTCCTTTGTTGGTGCTGTTAGTGAGGGTGTTGCCATGGCCATGGCGACTGCTAGTAGACGCTCTCATAGGTCTTTTGACAGAAGTAGGTGTACATGTACTAGTAAGAGTAGTATGATGATGCTGGCGACAATGCGCAGCGACCGACTCGAGCGCCCAGCGGGATTCGGAATCTCCGAAATCCTCGAACGAGGAAGTCCCGGTTCCAAACGAAATCACGGAATCCACGTCGTCTTCGCCGTTGGACTGAAGCACCACAAACACCGGAATGCTATTACATGACATTGTATGCATACCGTTAGTATTAGCCGTCATGGAGGGATGCTGATGCTGATGCGCTCTATTCATAGCTAGAAAGCTCATGGTCGAGTGTTTCTTCGTTTGCTAGAAATCTCGAAATCTCGAAAAGCCGTTGCTTCTTTGTGTTCAAATAATTCAGTTTGTGTGCTGTACCACCTCGTACGACTGTGCTAGCTAGCTAGTAGGCAAGAGAAAAAGTGCGCGAGATCGAAAGTGTTACGGTTTCCACCGTCGCCCCCTTTTCTACAGTGGGCTTCACGTACACTTTCGTAGAAACCCAGTACTAAACTAGCTACTGGATTAGCTCGAGCACCCCTGCCCAAAGTGCGTCCGCAACGGTTGCCTAGCATGGTCACTATCGCCCTTTCTATTACAACCTTCACCTGATCCAACCGAGATCCAATGACGACTTAACTGGCAAGACCCCCTTTTAACTAAATTAGCTCAGACGCACGTGAGCTTTAAGATCTCGGGGGAATGATTGAATCAACTGTCCATCTGTTGTACTGCCTGACAGGTCACCATTGTTCGCTTTCTGAACCAATCCAGCACGCTTTGCCATCTGCTGAATTGCCCCAAATGTCAATTGTGACGTATCCTCCGCGACCACCGTACAATAGCTGACAATTGGTCCGAAACTTCGCATTTTTTATTTTGTCGTTTGGTGAATCCAACTGCAAAAGCGACATCCGAGATTTAACCCACAAAGGAAGTTCGTCATCAAATTCAGACAGCATCGGTGCAACCTTTGAACAGCAACGTCACCTTTGACTACCGTTGCTTGTCTCACTGGTTATTTGAAAAGTGAGAACTCTTCCGTAAGAATGCTGGAAAGAAAGTGTTTCTGCTGAGCGACGAAAAAGGTAAAAAGGTTGGATCGAGATCTCAAAAGCATAATTCTACCACCTGCTTGTTCCAGAGCTCAAAAGCTCCACAGCTCGCTACATGTAGCAACGTACTTTGCAGGCCATCCAGGTTGTTCCTTTTTTAGGGAGCCATCTGGACGGCATCACAGATAACAGTTGGCATTAGGATCAGGATCTGAGATTACTCGAGGGCTAGCTACTAGCTACTAGCTAGCTACTGGCATTGGTGCTTACGGTTGCCAGAATTAGAAGCTATCATGGCTGTCTTTCTTTGCTTACAAGCAATTACATGCACAACTGTTTTGGAGCAGCTTGTTCTTTGTATTGTATTAAGACCGCTCCGGCATTGAATGTTGTCGAAAATTGCCATAGGGTTGGATGAGAGAGGGTTCAGAGATGCCGGGGAGGATGAGGGGTTGGAGGCTGCGCGTTGGCTGTTGTTTTGAAAAAACTGCATAGAAGGATCACGGCTGAGACGAAATTCTACAAGTAGCTTGTACATACATGTATAGCACATGTTGGCCAAAGTTTGATCAGGCCAATCACATCATCAAAGTGCTTGATGCATGTATGCATAGGAATTCCCTTGGTCCATCGTGATGGATGAGCGAAGCCTCCAAACCACAAAAGCATAGAAGGGCTTGAAAAATGAGCGATTGAAGGTCGAAGGCTTAAAGCCAAGTAAGGACTGTACAAATGGATACTTTCCCGGGACCAAAGGATCTAATGACTATTCTGAGATATCGCGCAAACCCAAACACCCGAGCTGCTGTGGCGCAAACCCAAACCATGGGCCAAACATACCGGTACAGTAGATCTACCAGGTCAACATCACCTCCCTGACGTAAATGGGCACATAGAACACAAGTAGTACAATGAATGTCATGCACCGCAGTGCCACCAATCCATTGTGTTCCATGCCACGGCTAGACTTGTGAAATCTCCAAGTATACTCAACGTGAGCTTCGACATGTGCTCGTATTCTTTGCTCGTCGAGATCTCGATACGGAGATGCACTGTGCGCATTTGATGCCTTGAAGGTTGTAGACTGAAGGAGTCCAAGCCATGAAGAAGGTCCGCAAAAATTGCCGTGTCGACATTCCTCTCCACCATTGGTGCACGCCAGTCCTGGACAAAATCGTATGGGTCCACCAGAAAGGGTAGGCGCTTGTGTTCTGTAGGGAATCGACGAGAGTGTTAGTCTCGATCTCGTGCCGTCATTTCTTGTCGTAGGGCTTGATTCTCGGGGGAGAGGATATGTCTCTCGCCGTTGTCATTCTTCTTGTTCAGGTGAGCAAAGGAATGGGCCACTCTCCACGCCTGGAATTCGCTCATGGTGACAATGCTGGTTACATGGGGTCTAATATTCCCAACAACAGCGAGAGTGGGGAGAGGAATAGAGAATGTCATCTTGTAGAGATTGGACGGATCCAAAAGCGTCGCATGATTCTGCAAACCCACGGTCGCCCCAGGACGAAACTTGTATCCAGAACAAACAATGACGAGGTCGAAGTGAGCTGTTTCGGATTGAGATTCGCGTTGTTGGTCGTTGGCAGTGTTGTGCAGCAGCGTGACCGTGACTGTCCCATTCAAGTTGGGGATGGCTTGCTGTACAGGCTTGACCGAACCATTGTTGAGCAACCCAATGATGCTTCGAGACTTGACGTATGCCGTGGACATGTATGTAGGTTCGTTCCGTACGACCGTACGAGGCTGCCATTCTTTGACACCAATGCCATTTTTGCCCCAAAAGTGTTCCATCCAGCATGTCAACATGGGCCAGACAACGCATTGTTCAAACAGCTTCCAGCCCAACCAGTTCTTGACCCAGTTGCAGAAAAAACTAAAGAACATGTCTGACGGTTTCTGGAATCCGACCGCTTTGTCTTGGAACCAGGCTCCCTGGTGACCTGTCATGGTCATGTTTCGAGCTCCTTTGCGGTAGAAGAGGTCATTGGCAATATCACAGGCCGAGTCGCTGCACCCGACGATCAGAATCTTGAGGTCTGGATTGTCTTGGAGTGCTTCAGTGATGTTCCGTTCTTGGCGTACGTGTACATATTGGCTTGCATGAAGCGGAAGGACACCGAGTGACATTCGCCCCTTCAAGCTGTGTTCGGAGAGTTTGTCTTGACATTGCTGAAGATGGCTCCACTCGGAAGGCGTGTTCGGGGTATCGAGTCCGGTGCACAAGACTACAAAGTCGCTTTCCAAGGTCTCTTGCATGCCCGCTTCTTGCACATCCAATTTCCATGTGTTTGTTGGGGCGTACGCGTCATGAACGATGCTTTGTACTCTGCAAGATGTTCGAATGTGCGAGCGCAGTTGAAAGTGGTCTGCTTACGAGTGAATGTAGCGAAGCACGTCTTGATGCATTGGGAACTCGGGATACGAGGCATCCATTGGAAAATCGGAGGCCCCCATGTAGTGTTTGGAGGAAACGCATTCCGTCGTTGGCAGCAGGGCACCTGACCTGGGCTCCCAGACACCTCCAATGTACGCATTGGCTTCCAAGATAGTTGCATCCAAGCCCTCTGCCAAGCACTGCTTCAACGTGAACAGCCCCCCGTACCCAGCGCCAACAATCAGGACCTTTTTCTTCTTCATGGCCGGTTGAGTTCTGCTTTGCTTCTCGTGGCTTTGGCTCTTTGTTTTATGAGGCTTGACCTGTGAACAAGAGCTTCAGCACAGATAGCTCGTATGAGGCTGACCTGCCCATGTACATGTAATCTCTACGTATACTTATGCCTGAGGCTTTGCTTCCGTTGCTGTCATTGCCAATCGACTAACATTGGTCTTGGTTCAAAAAGAAAAGTTGGGTAACATAGCTTTGCAAGTTGCCAGAAAAACCGTCCAAGCGCTGCTAGACTGTCCCTCGTCAGGAATCAGCAATACCGGTAGATCTAGTAGGATTGTTCTGGTGCATTCGTTTAGCGGGGCCGGTTGTATGATTTTGGAAGAGCTAGAACTTCTTCTGAAACAGGCACAGAACAACGCTTGCCCTAATACAAATCTGAGTACAAAAGACATCCAGGCGCTGCGGTTTCTTGCAGACCTCCTTTGTCGTCGGGGAGGCCAAATCTTTGACTCCGGACCGGTGTACGCTAGTCTTTCATCTGCCAACAGTGCCATTGCTGAGGCCTTTCCCCGCAACCAAGCAGTCAAGATCATTCTTCAGGCTATATTGCTATTCACTGCTGGGAGCGTTGTCGATGTCGATGTCGAGCACAAAGACTCACCCAGCAGAAGAGCATTGGAAACAGATGGAGACCAATGAAACTAGCCTTTGCGAGGGTTACATATTCAGTACCAATGACAAGGTGATTGACCGCCCAAAGTTAGAGGACCTCATACGAAAAAGGAGAAGCAGACCCGGAGCACACGTACTGGTCTGCAAGTTGCATCAGTCTCCTCATTGTTCTCATTTGAAACATCACCCAGACAAATACAAAGCCTTCCTAGACGACTTTCTGGCTCGAGTTGTTTCCGTGTCTCCCGTTCAGAATGGGTTGTCAAAGGAATTTTAAATGAATAGATGAATGCTTCTTTGTATAGATAGACTTTTACTCTGCTCTACTCCTGCACGAGCGAACTGTGCTTTGATCTGGCACACGCTGCAAGGATTGAAACCTTTGAAGTTGAACTTTCGCAGGTCTAATTCTAGGTTTTCATGGAATGCATGAAGCGAGGAATCCATCGAGACTTCCTGTCCTTGGGCCCAGCTGTCGCAGTTTGATGGAGATTCCTGGCAGCTGAAGTAGATGAGAGCACCTCGGAATAGATTGATTTTCTAGAAACAGGCACGTCATTTCTGACCGAATGGGCCTCGGCTGTAGCATGGACGCTGGCGGTGGAGACGAGCTCAGAGAATACCGACTTTCTATTGGCAACGGACACATCCTCGGTCATAACCGCGGTTCTACTCTGGTCCCTGAACATTGCAGGAGTTGGAGTTTTGGTAGCAATGGCCACCAACTCATCTGGAGCAAGTGCAGGGGTCTTGGGTTTCTTCCTTTTCGTCCTATTGCTCGAGCCGTGGACTGTTTGGTGCCACTCTTGCAAGGTATCTAATGGTACCCCCAGGCGGGTAGCAATGGGCATGAGTTCTTGATGGGTAGTCGGTGAGGTTTGGCCATAAATAGCTTGATTTGACTTTTGTAACACAGGGCGAGGAACCTCTAGAGGGTGACAAGAGATGCAAGTTCCAAAGTAGGAGTGGGTGTTGGTGAGTGGGAAGCGCAGCTTACCGTTTAGCAACATTCTGTGTGTCTTGGCAATGCCGCAGGCGTCACAACGCTGGTATCGAGCTGGCTTTTTATGAGTGTGCAATTGCTTCTTGACCATTTTGGCAAGCTTGCTTTGTGGCGGTTTCGTTGCGACTGTGCTGGAGCTGACAACCTCAGGGTCGCGCAGTATCTTTGTGCTGTTTTCGCTAGTCGCCATGTT